ATACCAATTGTGGACACAAAATGCGAAAAAGTTCAAGATTGATGAAATTCAACTTTGGAAAAGTCGGACATTTAGACATTTCAATTCAATGGAAGAAATCAAAATCCCAAATTCTCAAGTCAAATTCAGATTCCCAGAATCTGTTTTTTTTCAGATGGCACGTACTAAGCAAACTCGCCGCCTTGGTCCTTCTGCTAGTTTAGTAACAGCTTCAGGACTACCATTGGCCTTACGTGAGGATGTAAATTTTGGCAATATTGAGGGGGAGCATGCTGCCGATCCGGAAGCGACCGCTGAAGAGGAAGACTGTGTTAATGAGGAATCTCTAATTCCAATGGACGAAGAAGAAAATTTAGAAGCCGAGTCAGCACTTGATGAAGTAGACGCTGATGACGACGAACCCGAGAGTGAAGGTGCCAAAGTCTCGCCTGAGGAGTGGGCAAAAGAGCCAACGGAAGAAGAATTGGCAAAATTTGTGACTATGCCCGTAGCTAATTATGATTTCAAATGTGTTGTTGGATCAGGCTACCTGCCTGGGCGAGCTCGTGTGATGGTACAGGCTACACTGGGCCAATACCCAAAGGTTTCACTCAAGACATATCTAAGCTGCAAGATTGTGGGAACCCTCGTCATTTTATAGATGATATTACAGAGAAATATCGTTGTCGATGGTGTGGGCACAACTTTTCTAAAAGCTCTGCAAAAGTAAGGCGCGAGAAAGGTTGCGATGTGATAGGTGCACCTGGGCACAAATGGGACATTCATTGTCACAATCCGGCAATCGGGTTGAATTGTGTAGGAGCTGGTGTCTACACACCAGATAAAGACAATGATGGTCGGAAGGGAAATAGCAAAGGGAACATCGCCAGACTCAGTCAAACCTCCAAAAAATGAATGTATTAGTTAATAACTTTTTCCTTTTGAAATAATAAACTATTTTTCTTTACTTTGATGTTTTTATTGTTTTCTTTCAAAGTTTGCTTTGTGCACTTAAAATCTTGTTGTTTTGAACTGAAATGGTTTATGAAGTTAATTTGACTCATAAGAGTCATTTTAAAGTTGAAATTTGACACTTTGTTGTGAACCATAACAAATAACCTTGATGGGTCAAAAGATGACCAATTAACGAACTGCGGAGTCCTCGTTGTGTTATTCTTTTTGTTTCTTGGCTTTTAACATGATGAAAGGGTTAGATGTGGTTCATTTGGTATTAAGTTTATGTTTTGAAATGTTTGATCTTTCGCAGCACGCAGTCAATTGAAGATTTAAAAGTCTATTATGGAAACTGTTTAAATTCAACTGAGGCAACTTTATTTTTGGATAATGCAGCTTCGGAAGATGATGCATCTATTTGTATTTTCACTGAATGTATTCATCAATCCATCGAACAAACGGCAGAGAATATATATGTTGTAGACTCCGTAAAACGACATGCAAGTTCTATTAAAGTTATTGATAATACTTTTGCGATGCACAAGGACTTTCATCAAGTACCTTCTGATGTGGTGTGTTCCGAAACTGTAACTTGGAGCAATATGACCATAGGGATATTTTCTTGTTACTTAACTGGTCGTATGACTTTTGACTTTTTCAGGAGGCTAACCAATGCTTTATTCCGGGAAGCTCTACAGGCGAATGTTGTTGATCTAATTTTGATTGTTAGTGATTTTAATGCTTACCATGAATCTTGGTCTACTGAAACTTGTAATAATTATTACAAACGCCAGAGAGGAATACATTTGCATCAATTGATATCAAACTCGGGCCTTATGGTTTTGAACGATTTGAGACGAGGATTCAATCCCACCTGGATGCGAGGTACTACACACACTGTTAATGATAATACTGCCGAGGTCGCCAAAATGTTGTATACCAAAAAGGTTTACGAGTAAACGAAGGGGACTAAGTAACTTAAGGTCAACCATATCTTTATTTTAAGAAGCTTAAGGAAAGAGGAACAAAGGGTTTACAATGGGTTTTTATGCAAGTATTTGGTGCTATAGTCACCAACCAATAGGAAAAGAGGTATGAGTCCTCGTTGAATACAACAATATTTAAAAGTTATTTGAATATCACATAGTTTTTCAGTTTAAATGACATCTCTTGCAAGTCGCTTAAATTTGTCACTAAAAAATAGCCGGTCTTATCCGTCATTTCGTCAACTTGGTCCGAAGAAAATCATTTAAATTCTGGATGGAACTAAATATTGATTACAAATTAATAACATCTAGACGGCTCAAATGAAGCACCACAAACTCCTACTCACAAGTTCATTAAATTTCGGTTCTTTGCCTCTGACTTCCATTTGACTTGTAATTCAGCCATACCAGCCTTTACCAGTAAAATCCCGTTAACCTTTGAACGGAAACGACTTGAATAACCTCGGCACTTGAAAAGTAAAATGAATGCCCTTCAAATCGCATGACGAAAAGTGCAACACATAAATGGTAAAAGTTATACATTAAAATAAAGAAAAGGAAAAATAACAAATTATGACAATTGGTTATGATGAAAGTGAATGTTTAAAGGTGATAAGTGAAGCAGCATAATGGACAATATGGACATTATGATTGTCATGAAGAATGTTGAGGTTGAAGGAATAAGAATTATTAGAATAAGAATGGAATCAAAATGAATATAGAAAAGGAAAGAAACGGAAAGAGCAAAAAAAGAATACATTCTTTTGATATTCTATTCACCTTAAGTAGGCTAAAACTAATTTAATGATAACCTTTCATCTGAGCAATTGTTTTGGCTTTACGTTTTTCCATTCCCTTCTTTGATAGCACATGAAATAAAATGGACCGAAATAAGGTGATGATAAAAGAGTAGAGAGAGAAAAAAGAGCAACTAAAAGAAGCAAAATTTCATCTTCCATTGATTCTTTTCTTCTTTTCTTTTTCTTTTTTCTCTCTCCAGTCAACATCTTCTCCATCCTCATCATTGAACACTCAAGACAAGACATTCATTTAGTCTGCCATTTATCAACATTAATATGAGCTTCATAAGTTTCAAGGAATATCACTGATGAGGGAAAGAGAAAAGAACGAAAGAAAATAAAATTATTCTCTTCATTCCATCAGATATAATATTCATTGAACGTGATTCAAATAACTGATTGAAATCAATTGTTTCTCCTTCGCACACCTTATCGCAATACTTGCCTATGAAACAAACATAAAGGCAGCTTATTAATTGAACATTCAGCCAACATGGAAACATTCAACAATCTTTACTTTTCCTTCTAATCGCTCAACCAACCTTTTCACTTTACTTCATCAGTTAATTAATTGAATTATCATTATTATCACGGCCATTATTAACTATTATTATTGAACGTTTTCCTGTTATTAACTCTTTCTATTCAATTGGAATCACAAGTTTCTCCTTTTTTTCACCCAAATTTTGTTCACTTATTGTTTACAGAATTGCCTTTTCTTTTAATGAAAATCATTTTCTCCTTTTTCTGAAGCCAAAACATTCTGACAATTTTCACAAGTTTCCCTTTCTTATTGGCCCTTTATTGAGTTCGGCACATTTTAAAGTTCATTGAATCAAAGTAAATCAGTTGATAATTTGTCCATTTCGCTCCAACTTTTTTCACCATTTCTTCATATTTTCTTTATATTTTCTTCTCTTTTCATTTTTTTTTGTTTTTTTATTGCAAGATTAACAGGGAGTTTAGCACAGTTGAAATAGTAATATACAGAATTGCTTGGAATATCATTTTTCATGGGTCAATGAAATGAAATGGAAGGGAATGAAATGAAGAAGAAGAAAAGGAGAAAAAAACAAAATCAGAAGTTTTCATCATTGATATATAATTGAAGTTGATTGCAAGATAACTTATTGTTTCTGATTGTTTCTCAAGTCATTTATCAATTTGAACTTTTTTTTACTTCTTCACCTTTCATCTAAACCTTTAACCCATCTTAAATAATCATTGAAGATGCGATGAAAAAAAGAGAAAAGTTTGGAATCGAAGAAAAAAGATCAACTCAATAACCACTGAACACGATAATCTAGTTCACAATTGAATGGACGATAATGATCAATCAAAATAAAGTTGATGAGTTTAATCGAAAAGGTCAACTTTATAAGTTTTCCGTTTCATTCAAATGAGTTTTGAGCTCAAATTTAGGCCTCAAGTTGGTAAAGGTCGTGGAAAAGTCGAAAGGTTCAATCCATTTGGAGTTTTCATTCCAAGCAATTACTCATTATGATAAAGTTGATAACATTTTTTGTCTTTTTTTTCTTTCGCTTTTTTCTCTCTTTCTTTTATCCATATTCAGATGAAATTGATGACCAAAGGTCGACTCCATTTCATGGTTGAATAGAGACAAACGATTTTCTTGTTTCCAATCAACTAATCTGAAAATAAATTGTTCACCATTTGGTGTTTCATTTTCAACATTTAAACTTTCCAAGTCAAAACACTTTTCGAGACTTTTGAGTTTCCAAAGGAAAGTAATTTTATGCTGAAGAACAAGGAAAATGATTAACCCTTAGTTAAGAGTGAATTGATTTTGTGTACATTTTTCATCATTTTTCTTCCTCTTTCACTCCTTCAGAACCTTTATACACCAAGAAAGATGAACGCAAAATGGGAAATAAAACGAAACCAAAATGCAAAAAAATATATTTACTCCAGTCTCAATCAATCTCAAATTTAGTCGATTTCAGATCAAATGAGTTTCTTCAAAACTAAAGTTACTTTTCTCGATTGCAATCGATTGAAACAAAAAAGTACAAACTATGAGCTTTACTGATATTGGTTGAAATTTTAGAAAAAGAAAAGTGAAAATTTCGAAAAAAAATGTTGATCAAATTTGTACAAATTTGAGCAGTTGATGGTAAAACTGATTACATTTGAATTTTGCCTCAACTCTGAATTTCACTCCCTGTATCCTATAAGTTGACTATTTGGATACAAACTGGTAAAGAGTTTGCTCAACAAACAAATATATCGTTTTTAATGTTACATATACAACCATTTTGTACAGGAAAGTTTCATTGTTAAGGGTTGCTTCGGTGTATGTATATAAGGCTTTTATAACAAATGTTGACTTGAAAAAGTTTTTCTTCGTTTTTTTTTTGTTACTTCATTATTGTTACTTGAAATGAACTGAGTTTCACTTTTCTCTTCTATTCAACGGATAATGTTTAACCTGTTCTGGAATACAATTGATTTTACCAACATTGACCATGTTCCTGTTGATCATCCATTAATTGAACCCAATCTTGCAACAAATGATTAACATTGAACCAAAAGTTGAGTAACTATTTGATCAACTTTAACCGTGTCTTAACAATCTTGATCAATCCTCTTCTAATCATGAGAAAGTTTGATTGTTCCAAGTGGCCCAACAGGGTTAATTGTTTCAACTTTTTTCCATTGCAATTGTTTGCTCTTCTTTCGTTACAAGTCACTTTGACTGTAAGCCACAGTTCATGGGATCAATGGTGGGCTTATGATGGTATCTCAGGTTGGTAACAACTTACAGCTTCGGCCTCTTTTTTACTTACATTTACGATTTACTTTTTGCTCGTGTCAATCATGGAATCAACTTGATCGTCTTCTTTACTCTTCAATATTTACCTCTTTTAAGGTCCAAGCTATTGGGGCATTTTAAACCCTAAATGGTCACATTGTACAAAAGGAAGGAAACAATCGCCCATTGATATAAATCCTGATTCACTTTTATTTGATCCTGGATTAGAGTCGATACAAATCATTAAAGGAGACATTGTAAGTATCTTTCATCTTTCTTTTTTTTATTGTACCTTTCTAATGATCAAAAGCTCAATCCAACTATTAACATTAAAACGATAACAATAGCAATAACATTAACATTTTTAACCTTTTTTGTTTTACTTTGTTTTTTTGTCAAACCTCTCCATTAATGTCCCATCAAGGGTATAATTGATGGCAACAATTGGTTCAATTGTTGTCTAATAAAGATTAACCATTGAGCTTTAGCTTATTTTGAAGAGCATTTGAAAACTTTTAAAGGATTTCAGCTTCAATATCAAGTTGCCTTTTTTCACGAAAACTTGAAGCAGGCAAAAACGCAAACTTAACACAAAATTTAGTAAATTAGTCAAAATTTTACAAAACAATCCCAACGAAAAACTCCAGTAGACGCAAAAAGTTTTAGTCTTCAAAAGTGAAAAACGTTAAGTTGTCTTGACGCTCAATGTGTCGCAAATAAAATTACGTTTCTTTTATCTTATTTTCATCAAACGCATTTGCGTTGAAATTTTTATGCCATCTCTTGAATTAGCCATGGATCAAGCTCATGTACAAATACGTGTTCCAAGTATTCACTTTATTTCAAAAATAAAACAAAAAATTGAAATTTTGAAATAATTGATGAAACTATTGTACTCACAAAGCCTTTAAATGTTGATAAATGTCTCATGAAAATATGATTTGCTAAAGATGATATCCACTGTATTCATTGGATTGCTTGATTTTTTTCGGCTTTACGCAAAATATGGCCTCTGAACTCAATTATTAAATTAGGCCCTTGAAGACGCAGATTGAGAGTTGAGTTAATAATATGCTTTCTTCGGGGTTCAAACGGTAGCTTTTTGCTTTACTGTCATTTCAAGTTTATTTCGTGTCTTTTGTGCAAAAAGATTTCCTTTAAAAAGTTGTATTCACATAAAACATTTTTGATAGCTTTCTTCAAATATCACAACTTTATGAAAACCTTTCAATTCAACGTTGAAATCTGACTTTTTCATCAATTTCTTATTCAATAACTTCAAGCAAGTTGTACAGACTTTAAACCTTATTAACTAGACTATTGATTTAGATGCAATCGCAATTGATTAGTGATATCAAGTAACCATAAGTCTAGCTTTTTCCATGTTAATTTCGCATTGCGATTTCGTTCTATGGCTGATTCAGTCTTGAACCAATTTTCGGTTTTTAATATTGGTCTTTGCACGGTTGTTAATATTTTCAATTGTATTGAAGGATTAATTGGACGATTAAATGTGATTTGATATTGATAATTTAAAGTTTGCGTTTACATTGAAAAGTTCATTTTACTCTACTCAATCAACTTTGAACTTCACTTTTTCAACTTTCTAATTGACTTATTTTTAGATTAATGGAGATCTAATCAATACTGGACGAGGTTTGAAGCTTGGTGTTGATATAAATTCATCGATAACAATCACTTCAGGACCTTTATCATATCAATATTCAATTAACCATATGATATTTCATTATGGAACACAAGATGACCGTGGATCTGAACATCGGATTAATGGTGTTTCTTTTCCTGGTGAACTTCAATTATACTTTTACAATTCCCAGCTTTACCATAATTGGACTCAAGCAGCTCAAGAATCAAATGGTTTAGCTGTAATTGCCGTTTTAATTCACATTGCTTCATCTAGTGAAGAGGAAACAACTGCAACTTCATTTAATTCAATAGTTAAATCGATAGAGCACATTAAATATAAAGGTAAGTTTAATTGTTCAAGAGAGCAACAAAATCACTTCAATTTGGTTTAGTTGAGAAGTAACAAAATGAAAATGAGAATTAATTGCATCTGATTCAACTTAAATTGTCTACAGTTTCATCAAATGCCTTTTCCCATTACATTTTGATTCCATCAGAGTTTTTATCAATCTTAAAGATGCAAAATGATAATAATTGTTGAGTGAAAATGATTCAAGTTAATGTTAACAATCGATAGTTAAGAGATTTAGTCAACCTTTTTGCTTCTTTTTTTTGTCTTTTCCCTCGTTTTCCAGTCCAAGCATTTGGACCTTTCAGATTGAGGTTCATTTACAGTCGATTAAGTTATCCATTGGATAGATTTGACTTAATGCTTCTATTTGGTTTCTCCCTTTCATTCAATGTCCATTCAATAGGATAAAAATTACTTGTTTCCCTCATCATTTTCATCATCTTTTTATCTTCATCTTATTTATTTTGCCTCCTTTTACTAACTTACTTACTTACTTAAAAAGCCTCTGTTAATAATAACAATTCAACGTATTGAGAATTGGTGAGATTGAATCAAAAGATTATATCAACAAGAAGGGAAAAGAAGTAAGTTAATCAATTTGGTCAACCTGGTCTTACTCAGGCTGTTATTAGTTTAATATGAAATATTGTTCACGGTCAATGTGAATGATAATGCTGATAATGTTGATGATGAGTATGATGATAGAAGATGATGAAAATGATCGAGTTAGGATGAAAAATTTGATGATATTATGATGGAGATTAAGGCTGTGAAATTGTGCAAAGCAAGAGATGATTTTATCCTTCTTTTTGTTCCTGATGAATTATGATTGTGCGATTAACTTGAGGTTGGATGAGAAGGCTTTAATCGACAATCATATTATAAAAGGTTAATAGATAATGAAAGGTTAACATTACATTTTTATTTGATTGCCTTCAAAGCCCACCATTTATAATGTAAATAGCTTTCAATAGCAAGAGGTGAAGTGAGAAAGAAGCTTCTCTATGTTGCTAATAATGATAATTAGTATCAAGTGATCCGGTTAAATCGTTTATTATCGATGATAACCTCTCCGTTATTATACACTAATTAGTGGAGATGGATAGTTGATCATCCATAATCCAAGAACCAAAATCGACATTTAATCGACCATAATCCAGACATATTATCGAAAGAAAAGCCTTGCTTCACCATATTTCAGTCGTTTTTTGTCTTTGCCATATTTCATCTTGATATAAGTCTGGCAAGCCGAGAATGTAATTTTTCAAGTTGTGTGATAATTTGTTAATTTAAATGACGAAGTTGGCTGTTAATGGCAATTTGATTGTTTACTTCAACCATTGATCCAAAGCTTTACTTGATTAATCTCCACGTATTGGTATTTCCCATCGATAATCAATATAGACTTTACCATCGCAAATCAATATCCTTGGATTACCGTGAAGCATTGATTTCTTTATCCATTATTGTTTCTTTCCTAAGGTACGAGTCATAAACTGGAGTCAATGAGTATCCATAAATTGTTACCAACATTGGACCATTATATTACCTATGAAGGATCTTTAACAGAACCACCGTGTCATGAAACAGTTCAATGGATTGTATTGAATAAACCTCTCTATGCAACTTACCAGCAGCTTTCGTTGATCCGTAATTCCCTTAACATTGATGGTTATGGTGATAATTATAGACCCATTCAGCTGACAAATTATCGCTGTGTCCGAACAAATATACTGAGGGAATTTAATACAACCATAGATGAGGTAAATAATCACTTATTATTAATACACATTAAAAGGAAACAAAAGATAGCTAAATAATCATTTAACGCTATTTTCACAGCATAGAGAAAAGCTTACAACAGTTGCTTATTTGCTGCCTAATAAATAGTGCACTTAATTAAAATAAATTTATTTCCTTCTTTTTTGTTTCTATTTATATTTCCAATTCTTAATCATTCACTCTATATTTAACAGTGTTGATTTATTATAGTAAATCTATTTGATCGAATGATTTTAACCAAACAAGTCGCATTATTCAAAATCAATTGCTAATTTAAATTAAGCGCGTAAAAGATTTTATCTTCTGTTTTGCTTATGACAAATATTGTCAATATCCATTCAATATTATCGAATGTCTTGATTTAACTGTTGGTTTATAATTTAACTCTTTTTTATTTGTTTAGATGTCTCAATCAATGAAAGATAATCACCACGAATTCAACAAGAAACGTATTTGTGGAAACAAAGGTTATGTTACTTATAAAGGTAAGTAAATTAGCGTTTTATTTTTGCTCAGTTTCCTATTTTTTATTTGTGCTAATAAATTTTAATATGTTTGTCAAATGTTATTTTTGATGAAATAATCTAGTAGTTAACCTTTAACCATTAACCTTATGGTCCAGCTGTTTGTTTTTTTGCTCCATAAATGAAGCAGAAAGCAATGTTGACAGTTTCACTTTTAAGGTGAACATTTTGACGATAATGATTATGATTAAGCTTTTAGGGAAATAAAAATTAAACCTTTCTCTGCATTACAAGTTTTATTAAATGTTTGAAAAGATGAGACAAAAAGTAAAGTGTCAACAAATTGCGATTCATGATTGTACATTTTAAACTTGTACTTTTTGTTGCTTCCATTATTGCCAGTGATTAAATGAATCAACGTCAAACTATAATTAAATGAGTTAAATTGTTAGAATGACAGTAACAAATAAAAAAAAGTCCTGCGAAGGTAAGATGTGATAACGATGCTAATAATAAGTGTATATGAAAAAGCTGGTTAGTGAAGTTGTGTCAAGGGAATTATTATCAAAAATTCAGCCAAAGTGAAAAGATGGTGAAGATGAGATGAAAGTGATGAGAGATGATGACAAGTGTACAGAATATTTTGATGAAATATTTGGTCCAAGTAAAGAAGCAAAAGAAAGAGTGGAAAGAAAGAAGCTAAAATGTGATATTACATTGGACAACAGTTTGGCATCTATTATGGCTAATAATATTTGATCAGCAGTTTTAAATTTTTCGACCAAGCTCTTTTTTTTCTTGTTTAATGGTTCCTTTTTTCATCATTGAATCAGAATTGTAACTTTGTTTCAAGCCTTTTCCATTTCAAATTTTTATTAATTTTGATTCTGTTTTTACTTTTCCTTTTCTTAGCAAATATCAAACGAGATTTGGATGGAGACTGATTTTGGGTCCACTGCAAAATGAATGGATAAACATGTGCATTTGATTGTTTCTTCAACTTTATATTCTTTCTTCGACTTGTACAGGATCCATGTCAAAGGTTGAAAAATAATGGATAAACCTCGCTTCCATTGGAACTCTTTACAAGCCCATTCGCAATAGAGATTACTCTTCACTTATTCGATGGTCGATGGCAATCTTCATTATTAGTTGGCCTAATTGACAGTCAAAAGGAACTGTAAAGTTTACTTAGTTTGGCTGACTATTTTTACCTTCAAGATTGGATGAGAAAAACCATGTCTTTCATTAGAAGTGACTAAAAAGTTTTGTGATGTATCATTAATATTAAAAATTATTTAATAAAAAACTTGGATTGTGCCATTCAATCATTTGCATCTAAATACGATACAAAAAACAGCCCCGACTCGCCACGTAACATTTCGCCAGTTTCGTGTTTCTATGAAATGTTTGATTTAACAACAAGTGTTGGTCTGGAAATCATAGAACTTCAGAAATTAAAGCATTCACATTGAAATTTATAAATAAACTAAAATAAGTTTTCTATTGAATATATATGTTCTAATAGATCGACTGAGAGCTGGACTGTTATTCAATCACAGAAAACAATATTTTAGCCAATCAAGGGAATCGCTGGGTGAAAATAAAATCCAGGCTTTAATTTCATAATTTACTCGAAAATACTAAATAAAACATGAAAAAAAGTTATTCAAGCAAAGCGATAAAATTTAGTTGATTGTAACAATAAAAAATATTACACAAAGTAAAGTGAATTTTCCCATTTATCAGCGCCATCTAGATGTAATCAAATGGCAACTTAAGGAGCGCAATTTTTTGTTTTCCCTTTTTTGATCTTTGTATCGATACTTGTTTATTTGTGAGTTTCAAGGGAAAATGAACAAATCATGAGTAGCCATAATTACGTAATCAAAGATGATTGGGTTGTTAGTAAAAAATAAGCACAATCAGGTAAAATAATCAATTGATTGATTAGAACCTTTGGTAAAAAAACAAGACATTGGTTAACCTTTCGACATGCATAAACTTCTTATGATATTGGGAATGAAAAAGTAGGTGAAATCGATTTGGAAAGAATTAATAAGCAAGACGAAGACGGAGAAAAATAGACGAAGAAGGGAGGATAAGCTTTGAAATGTATTAGAAATAATAATCATTAAATGTTGATCATCTGAAATATTGATTGATTGAATGAGCGAGAGAGAGAAGCAGCTTATAAAAAAAAGGTTGACTTTGGTTTAACAGTTTGTTAATAAAATCTTATAATTTTGAATTTGGTGATAGTATCGATGTTTGATGTTGACTCTTTTGTCATCTCTCCTATCACAATTAAATTAAAAACTACGTAATCAAAAATGATTGGAATGTTTAACTGTGTTTATGTCCCAACAGTATCAATAGAAGCTAAAGAAATCACCCAATCAGACTTGTCGATGGAAAGAGACGCAATGTATAAATTGTCCCTAATGTCAGGAGCATAGTTTCAATGGAATGATGTATTTACCTGGTCCTCAGTCATCCAGTCATCCAGATTGTTGTCATCATCATCATCATCCTCTTTTCCTTTTTTTCTTCTTCACCCTCTTTTTTTACCCTTTCATCACCAAGCCTAATCATGTCTCTACCGGAGGAGAATATTATGTCCCTTATACAAAATCTTCTACTAGAGGGTAATGTTAGTGATCTTCTCGGACCATCGCCAATAAGTAACAACAATAATAGCAACAGTAATGTTAATAATCTTCCGAATTCTCGTGGTTTTCATGGGAGCTCAAGTCCATTTCGAAATGATGGTAGCTTACAAGCACCTGGTACCAAATCTAATGTATCCATCGATTCTTTTAACATTGGTTCGTCATCGTCATCTTCATTGTTGTTCCGAAAAGGACTGGCCGAGTCTAAATTTAACTGTGATGGATTATGGAGTACCAGTGATCTGTTGTCGCCCTTATCTGACTGCTCTTACAACTCATTGTTATCTACATCTACCTCTTATACAAAAGGCTTAGAGCCATGTATCAATTCTACTTCCAATACTACCTCCTCGTCAACAGCCTCATGTTTTGATAGCTTAAATCATCACATTCAACGAAATGACCTTGCTTCAACAATTTCGCTAAATAATCTTAATGGTAACAAGTCATCCTATCTATTCCCGCCCCTAGTTAAAGGCAATGGTAATTGTTTATATGACATAGAACCAGGTACGAGTATTTGCCACAGTAATGCTGTTAATGTTTCATCACGAAGACGAACCCTTTCCAGTCACTATACCTCATCATCATCTTCTTCTTCTGTTGATTCGTCTCGTATTCAAGAAGATGAATTTGAATCTCAGATAAACAAGATAGCCAATGAGATTCATTCGACCATCCAGTTACATATGAGTGGCCTACAAGTCCGCCGGGATCAGCTTTTACAGCAATTAGAGAATGTTAAGAGAATTTATTTACAAATTTTCAAACAACAACAGTCATCACCCTCCTCACCCTCTACAGGCTCGTCCTGCTCCTCCGGTAGCCATGTTATAGATGGTAATGGTTTAGGCGGTAATAATATTGGACAAAGACGAATCGGCTTCCAACAAGGTCGAGGATGTTATGACACAAGCACCGAGATTTGCCATCCATTGCCTTTACCAACTGTAACCTTCACAAAACCTGATTCAGCTCTTTACAAAGCAGTCTCTTCTCTAGGTTTTCTTACTACCCCTGCATTTGCTCCCTGTTGCTCAGCTACTGGTGATGGTCTTGAAGTAGCCGTTCCCGGCTTAAACAACAATTTCACCATTGTTACACGCAATTGTTTCAACGAGGAACTTCTTATTGGTCGGGAAAATATTTTTATTAAAATAGTACCATCTAACGGGTCATCTCCCTCCTCCACAACACAAACATCATCCTCTGCTTCATCTCCGTCTTCGTCCAGTTCCTCGTCTCCATTGATTTGTGCCTCAATTTATGGAGGAGGTAGTAATGGTGGAGGTGGTAATAATCATGGTGCAAATACAAATAAGAAAGATCTACTTGGCCTTGATGTTGGCTCAAATTCCTCTAATTCACAATTTGGTTCCAACCTTCACAGCCACCATCTAGGATCTCAATCAACTTCTCTAAGTATACCTTATACTTTACTGGATCATAATAATGGAAAATATACAGTGACATATTTGGTTCCACAATCGCGAACCTTGCCAACTGAATTGAGTATAACTATACTTGTAAATTATATACCTCTTAATGATTCTCCTTTCCATGTACCGGTGCAATTAGAGCAACGATCACGATGGCGATTAGGCTTGACTTTTGGCTCAGAGGGTAATGCAATCGGTCAATTATGTCGACCATGGGGTGTTGCTATTGTTCGCATGCCTCCTTTCATGTTAACACCTCAATATTTGGCGTCAACCTCTGTCAATAATGGCGGAAATGGCACTGGTGATAATGTTTCATCAAACACAAATCATTCTTGTTCATCTTCAAATAATCATTGTAACTCAACAAGTACGGGTAATTCTTGTTCATCAACTAATACGGCTAATCAAGTCTCATCTCAGACTTGCTCAAATCTTACTTCATCAACTACGGGTATGTCTGTTGGAAGTGGTGCTAATGGTAATCACCACCAACAACAGCAACAACAACAACATCAACAACATCATCAAACACAACAAGGAAATTCACAATACGGGTGTGACAAAATACCTCATTCAACCTCAGTTCATCAGTATTTTTCATCAAATTCCTCTTCACCCTCTCATCTTAACCCACCTTTGCAACAATCAAATCAAAGCACAACACAATTACAGACCAACTCATCGTCTGGTCAAACAACTACGGGTAACTCATATGCCTCATTATTCTCTTCTGATAACTCAAATGGTTTAACCATTGGTGGTAGTTCAACAATTGTTGGTCTCTCATTGCCAACATGCAACTCAAACGCTACTACAGCAAATTCAATTACGGGTATTGAAAAGTCTTCATGTGCGTCATCATCTTCATCTTCAACGGGACCTGGTCCCAACAACACTAATAGTAACCGAAACGGGTCTAAAAGTACAATTAACAAAAATAACAAACACTATTTGATCGCAGTCGCTGATCGTAGTAACAATCGTATTCAATTACTTCACTTTGATGCTGGTACAATGAGCATCAAAGTTCTTCAAGTCTTTGGTTCTGGTCCAGGAACTCGGGCTGGGCTTTTTGATCGGCCTGCGGGTATAACCATTAATACTAGTTTAAATCACATTATAGTCGCGGACAAGGATAACCACAGAATTCAAGTTTTTGATCTTTCCGGCCGTTATCAATTTAAATTTGGTGAAAAGGGAAATCGAGCTGGTCAATTCTGTTATCCATGGGATGTAGATTCCTGTTCGCACACACATCAACTTTTGGTCAGTGATACACGAAATCGTCGAGTCCAACTGTTTACTCCCTACGGACAATATATAACCCATTTCTCCCATCCTTTGGACTCTCCTCGAGGTGTCTCTTTCCTCGGTGACAATCGGATCGTAGTTTCTGATTTTAACAAACATAGACTCTTAATTTTTGACAAATTCCCTTCCAAAGAGGATGCTTCTAAGGTAATTGGTTTTGGCGAAGGAACAGGATGGGGCGAATTCTTGCGTCCGCAAGGAGTATCAATTTTGGGTAATTCTATTTTCTGTGCGGACTCACGTAACAATCGCATCTGCATCTATAATCTGTTTACTCAAGCCTTCGAATATCTTGGACAAGACTTAAACTGTGACAGACCTTCAGGTCTTCATGTAATTGATAATATACTGGTTATCGTTGACTTTGGAAACAATCGACTACAAATTTGTCAACTTTAATGACAGCTTACTTCTAACATCTCATAAAATTATCTGCATTTTGTGAATTATCTTTTAATTTTCTTTTTCTTTTATTTTCTTCACATCTATCTTAAATGTCACCCTTTTGCTTGGTGTTCTCTATTTCCTTCTACCCTCCCTACACCCCTTTCATCTCTTACCTTAACTCTTTTTATTCCACATCTTTCAGATGTGTCCATCCGGGTATCCTTAGAAAGAAGAAGATATTGCTTGCTTTTACATTCTCTTTCATTTCTATCTTAATCTTTGATTTTCTTTACCAATCACCTATTTTCTTTGCTTCCTCATCCTTACACGTCTCTCTATCTTTCCCCTTTCCCTCTGCATGTCTCTCTCACTATAAATATAACTCTATTACCTGTTCACAGTTACCTTTTAGACAACACAAGCATCTAAAAATTTAACAATTTTGCTTTTTCCTTCCATTTTCCCTACACATTAAAATGTTTGCCCTTCTAACCTTAACCCTCAACAAAACCTTCCAGATCTTTAATTACTAGTTATCAAAATGTCTCTTATCTCAATGTCTATTGTTGCTATATGAAAAAAAACACTAAAACAAATAATCAATTTAAGATCAAAAAATACATTGTTAATCTAGTATCTGCAGAGGTGCAGGAAAAAAGACTGAATAAAGTGATTCTATAGCGTATGTATGGTACTATCTTGCCACTTTTATCGTTATTTTATTTTAATTAACAATTTTTGTTTCTTATGTTTCAATGTTTCTCATTTATTTTATTTTCATCCTATTTGGCTCAATCAAAATTGTACCTTTGATTCATTTTTCCATGTAAAAATGCCTGACCAATCTAAAGATATTTGCCAGCAAACTGTCTAATTTTATTTCAAGATCAATCTGGTCGACTTAACCATATATGATTAATGAAATATTAAACTTCTTCACTTAAAACTGTCTATTAGAAAGCAAGACATAATTAAAAGTCTAATATTTCATCTGAATTCAGTTGAGATTAAATTTATCGTTACAGATGAAATTATGATAAGTGAAAAGCTGAACCAGAAGAGTTGATAATTTTAACATCAAGAACTATTGTAGGTATCATTATTTCACTAGAAACAAAAGGATAAAAAAAGTTGGAAGACGAGTTTTATATTTTTTTGGAGCTTAAAAGCATTGAAGGCTTCAAAGCATTGCAATGCAATTGTTTTTATTGTATCACTAAAAAATCTGATTGAAAAACAATTATAGTTAACTTAATTACAAATGAAGTTAATATAAAATTATAAAATGTATTCTACTATGGCAGTTTTATGTTTCATTTTCAGGTTGAGCGTATGCTGGGGCAGCGTATGATGGAGCGGCTAAGACTTTGGTGTATGCTGGGGCAGCAGCATAGTGTTGGACTGGAGCAGCATAAGCTGGGGCAGCTAAAACTTTGGTGTAAGCGGGGGCAGCGTAGGTTGGGGCGGCCAAGACCTTGCTGTATGCTGGGGCAGCGAGGGTTGAGTAAGAGAAGGCTGGAGCGGCAACCTTGGCGTATGTTGGAGCGTAAGCTGGAGCGTAAGCAGGGGCAGCATAAGCTGGAGCAGCTAAGACCTTAGTGTAAGCGGGAGCAGCAGCATAGTGTTGGACTGGGGCAGCGTATGATGGGGCAGCTAAGACTTTGGTGTAAGCGGGGGCAGCAGCGTAACCATAGGTTGCTGGGTAAGCAGCATGATGACCGTAAGCAAGAGCACCGGGGTAAGCGTATCCAGTTGGAGCTAAACCAGCTGAAGCTGAGGCGATGAGGAGTGAAGCGACAACGAAGAAAGTGTTCATTTTGATGTTGATTGGATTGGTTTGTGGAAACACAAAGAAAATTTGTAAAATGAAAAGGTTGATTTGGTTAATCTGGTTGGATTGGAATGAAAGAGCTGAATGATTTTTACAACCAACTGTTGTCCATTTATATACAAAATTTGCTTTAACCAAATTTAATGTACAGTTAAATTGTTTGCCATTCAAAAATGTAATTAATGAGAGACAATATTAATAATTTTGGGTGGAGATTTGGGAAACAAGTTTAATTTGATTATTTGTTTTTTCCATGTTTAATAGGTTGTACCATTTGTTAACAGATCGTTAACAAATTGATATCGATATTGAACATAAAAGCTTTCACTTTCAATCAGAATAGCCTGAAGCACCCATTGAATTATATACACTTTAAAGGCAAGCTTTACTAATCAAAAGAAAAATAAAATTCAACAAAAGCAGAAAATAAATATTTCAATTGATTAAGGTTGACATGAGTTTACCTTAAAAACGATTGTCCATTTCATTAATAAATTTTTTCTTGTTCATTCCATTATCAACAGTCAATTAAGCGTTAATCATCATTAAAATCATTTAGTCTGTCTGTTTGGTCTGCTTATCATTTCATTTTCATTACCAAATATAATATTGAACTTGAAAATGGTAATAATGAGTCTGACTTTGATTTCAATTTTTTGTTCTCTCTCTCTCTTAATACAGTAATTAACATTGATTTACCCTTGTATCAATTGTATTTCATTTGATTCAGATAAAGTTGCCTTAAGCTTAACCTTTTGCTTCCTTTTAAAAAAAGATCATGATATTAGTGATAGATTATAATTTATTGCTAATTGTAATAATTAGTGGATCAACGTGAAAACCTGCAAACAATCAAAGGCAGAACAATTTCATTTCGAATATTCAATTTCCAAATTCAAGGATCAAAAATTTACTTTTCAAACAAATAATGATCACTATAATCATGTCCAATGTAAGCCAAATGTCCACTCTGTTAATACATTTAACAATCCATTTCGAGTTTTAATTGCCATTCTTTTTTGGCAATTTTCTCCATAATAATACACCTTTTTTCAGAGTATTGATTAATGTCCATCACAGAAGACAATTTAGTGTTGCCAATTATAATGACCTTTAATGTTAAATTGATTGAGATCAAGGCTTTTCCAAATTCAATTTTTGCATTGATTGGAAAATTGGTTTAAGGTGTAAATTGTGGGAAAACAAAAGGTAAATTATTGATTTTCTGGACATTTTAATTTCTCTTCATTTTCAATATGAATTTGTCAATTTTTACATGGAATATAATTTGGTTAGAAATTTAATTTCTTTTCATTATTAGCAATCTTTAGGCACAGATAATAATAGCAAGTGAAAGTGGATTGGAAAGCTTTTGTACACTTTAACCATTGGAAATGTTGTCTTCACCGGTTTTGGGTAAAGCTCGGGTTTTGGGTTAAAGTCTTTTAAAGATACTCTTCAAATACATTTCGTTTGTTTGTTCCGTTTGTTGATTGACTTTGAATCAATTGTGTTTCCACTTTTGAACCATTTTTCACATTCTTCGAGTTGTACTGATTGGTGATTAGCAAATGTGGCGGGGAAGAGTAACTTGATTGGCACCTGTGATGAGGATTACGGGTAATTGATGATGTGTATCTCAATCGATATTCACTTTTTCGCCCTCTCAAAGTTCGAGAAGAAAAGGTTCGGTTAACGGGAAGCGGATAATCTCCATGTCTAAGAGTTCGAACATTTCGCCAACGTTCTATGTGATAACGAAGAGAGTTGCGAACCTGCCAATTGAAAAGGACAGTTTAACGACTTTCATTTACAAACATTTCACGATAAACTTGCAATTTATCCCAACAATAGAAACTAAAATAAATTATTTCAAATTTTGTTTTTTAATTTCTTTGTAATTTATTTTTGATCAGAAAAACTGATTTTAATTTCAAGGTTCAATTTAATTGAAATTGATCTTATTAATAGCTATTAATTTTTTTATCATTTTGGCTTATAACTACATTTATATGGCTATTAATAAAATGATAATTGCATGTTTAACGAAAGTGATAATCTTTGGTTTCTTTGTTTCAATGAACTAAATTAACCAGATTACAAGATTGACTGTAATAGTCATGAAATGATCTTACCTCAGCATTAAGGAAACAGTATAAGACGGCAACAGTAAAGCCCTGGAAGTGAGGAAAAGGATTCAGAATCTTAGATTAGTCTGAAGCAAAAACAGAGGCGAAATAATTTACCAAAAATTCATTTGTGAAAAGAATAGAGAAAAGCAAAATTTCGTTCATTTTGAGCAAAAAATTTTAGCCACTGATCAAGAGTTGATTATTAATAGCTTAAAATTAAAGATTTTTTTTGGGTTTGGTTGAAGAAAAGGTTCTTTTTTAGGGAAAAGGTCGGCAAGTCCCGATTTCAACTGTTCAATTCGTGATTATTTTCCCATTTAAAGATAAACTGAAGGCTTGCAAATGTGCCTTTATTTTGTTATCATTATACTAATGATTGGCATTATTAATAATAAAGTTACAAAGTAACTGAATTGAGATGTTTGAGACAGACAAAGTACTAAGCTTGACCATGAGAAAAGTTTCAAGTATCCAATTGTCTGAATTATTAGTGAACTTGCCGGCTTTTTCTTCTGAAAAACAAGTCTTGAGAGAAAAAAACCTTTTCTTTCCAAGTTACTCATGATCGATGACCAGTGACTACTGGTTGAAAACATTGGCCAAGAAAATATTTAAATTGAGTAAGATTTACACAAATAGACATTCAAGTTATAATACATTCAATGTGCATTTTTATATTGCATTTATTTACATCTTTATACAACTTTCGTGATCAAGTCTCATGGAAGCTCTTGAAATTGCAATTCAGCTATTAGTGTGAAAAGGTTAAAATTATGCAGATTTTCCTGTAATCCTTGGTAACTCAGGGAACTCATCTCAACTGCGTCAAAATTATCCGAACTAATATCAGAATAATAAGAAACTTGTCTAAACAGGAATTTTTCATCTGTCAAATTGGGTTACTAGGTGAGCTGAAAGGACAATTATTGAGATTATTTCGATTACTTAACCAGTCAAGACTTGAAGGCATTTCAAAATTCAATCTCAATCAGAATCTTTAAATCCTTTAACTGATCAACAATTGGTTTCAAAATAATTGAAATTAGATTCAGAATATTAAACTTCCAGATCGCAAAAAGAATGAAAAATATTCCAAATCGTACAAAATCACAAGCAAACTTAATGGCTTTTCACTTTTCACCATTAATTGTTGAAGGCAATGAGGTGCCTCACTTGGCATTGTTTAACTACAATGGCAACAAAGACATTAGTAAATGTTTAAAAATAACGATTAACATTGACGGGTTAAACAGCCCACTTCTGTAAGTAAATTTATTTAATTGCATATCATAATTTACCATATTTCAATCCTTCAGATAATGTTTATTGTCTTGAAATGAACTTCAAACAGTAACCTTGATGTTACCTTTTTCATGTTAAACCCAAATTGCGCAAAGTAAACCTACAAAGAGTCTTAATACTTTTTGGGTTTATCACAATGAAAATCTTTCCAGGACTGGAAAAGACTTTACAATTGTTATATTTTGATATTTTAATCCAAATTTCCATCTTTAATCTCGAGCTAAATAAACTATTCACAATCAAACGATCTAAATTAAAGTGAATTTCAAGGTTTTTAAAATGAAAAAAAGTATTCAATTTCATCTGAAAATCTTGAGTAAAGTGAAACTTGATTCTAGAAAAATTAGCAACTTTTTGTTTCTCGATCACAAATCAGTCATTTCACTGACCCAATTGAACAAATAGACGCTTTTTTAATCACAAATGTTTGCTTTTCAATTCTTTTCATCCTTTTCTTCCCTTTACATTACCTGAGTTGAATTGAGGGTTGCATGAATATAAGTGTAAACAATTTTGGCATTACCAGAATCAGGAGTTACCAGAAGCAAGATGTAAGCTATACCAAGAAGTGGAGTTAAAACGAGAAGCGCTTTGACAGCTTTTCTGTGAACGAACAAAGAAACTTGATATTAATACATTACAAGTAAAATGAGTAAAGCTTTTCAATTTTATTTTCAAAAATAACTTTGACACTCATTTTTTTTCTCATTATTCATTGACATTTCCTAGTGATTCTGTAAAGAGTCATTTGCATGTTGGAATCGATAAAAAATTCACTTTTCCAATTTTCTCTCTCAACCCAAACTTGCATTTTAAATGATGAACAGACTTTAATTGTGCCTGGAACACGTTTCTTTCTCCATTTGCAAACTCAAGTTCATCTTGTTTAACGTTACTTGTGCTACCAACTGGTGTTTACCGAGTCAGACTGACTATCCAGGTAAACTTGTAGCCAGTCTAACCTGTTGCCTAAGTGTCTATTTATTTTGCTTGCGTGAGCTGATAATTGGCAGGCAATCAAAAAATATGCAACATCATTCAATTCCTTTCAACCCATTATTATATTTTAGCTTCACTTTCACTGTTCTAGGCTTGCTGGGTAAATTAAACATTTCACTTGATTGTATGACTGACAGTTATCAATCAATTGGTTCAACTCTCTCTCTCTCACACAAATTGATGGCATAGAATGAAATGTTTGCCATTCAAATCTGGTTAAGTGATCGATAAAGTGATCAAGTTGAATAGCTTGTTGAGCTCGCTAGTCTAGCTCAGTCTATTGGTTAGCAGTCTGTTCAGTTCATCACACGATAAATATGAACACATTGAACCTAGATAAGAAACTGTTTATTCAAAGCTCTTGAGTATTTGTTCACCGATATTAATGAAAATCACAGTGATAATGAACTAAAGCTAATACGATGGATGAAGGTTGAACACATAAGATCATCTCATTTTAACTGAGGTTTATCAATAGTCAACTATTGCCATGAAAGGAACTTAAGTTTGTCCGAAAAAGAGTAAATGGATAAAAATTTCCTCTCGAGCCAATATCAGTTCTAATATGCAGAAGAGGACTTTGCGGGTTTGGTAGGACGTAAAAACTGCACCCATTTGTACAGTTAAAAAATAAAAATCGTGAATAATTTGCATGAAAAACTCCTTGCATCAAAGTGTCTTAAGTTTCCAACATTTTTTATTCAAGAGGAAACCTTTGCAACTTTTTATGTTTTTTGAATGATTTACCCAAAAATAAGTCTTAACCCAACATTTTCTGGTTCATATTGATGCTAAAAGGTTTTTAGTTCAATGTAACAACAAGTCGATTCAATATTAAAACCAGAATAATTGAGAGTAAAATACAAACTGAATGACTCTAACATACAAAATTTATGCTTAACTTGTAGATATGTAACTTCCAGTTGTTTGATCGAAACATGATGAGTTTCAGCCACAAAATTTTCATTTCATGGGAATTCTTATATTTCTCTTGTTTAAAAAATTGAAAATGTGAATTAATCTTATAAATTGAGTTGAAATTAATGAAAGTATAATAGTTTTCAGCAATCAATTTTGGCTTTAGTCTTAACAAGCTTAGTAGAATATTTCAGAGTTACTCATCTACTTTTGATGCTTGAAATTGTTTCACCATGAAAACAATGTTGAAAGAAATCTAACCCGAAAATTTAGAGATTTTTTGTAACAAAAACTTGCTTACAGTAGATCTGCCAACTCGAAAATCGATCTAATTCTGCTAAATTGTTCTGCTGCTCCAGCTTAAAGCAAACTCTTACGCTTGATTTTATTTCGCTAATCAAGTTAATTTGACTAACTATCGAATCGTTCTTTTGTTAAATAACTGTTATTTTGTTCTGAATAAGCTAATCAAATAAATTTTGTTTCGTTCCTAACTTTGGAAGAAATTGTTTTAATGTGAATCATTGAATTATCGCTTTTTTAATCAATGATTCGCGATTTAATGTGATTTTTGATTTAGCAATGATTTAGCAACAAAAAGCCTAAAGCCTCGGGATTTTAGTAGAATAGCTAACAGTCAAGTGATTACTGCCCTAGTTATCGAGATTAATTCAAGATAAACCTGAACTTTTTCTATTCGTAAATTGGTTCAAGTTATTGTTGCCTTCCAACTCCTTGGAATGGGAATTAATGTTTACAAGATAAAAAGCAAAGAAATTCAATCACTTCATGAACCTATTGATGTCTTGTAATTTTTTGATTGGATCTAGTATTTCACAGAACTCTGATAATCTTTTATTAGATTTTCATTCAGGTTCACCTGAAAATTGATGAATTTGTATCTTGAACCAGCTCTACTAATGCAAAGACAAAAAGGCAACCAAATTTCCAACAAATAGAAATGTCAGTTCATCTTTGCCTAAAAATTTCAATTTCAAAGTATTTATTCAAATTCGCCTTCCAAGTCAAAGGTTATCAAAAATTATAACCTTTTCCAAATAATATTCATGGATTCAACAGTTATAACAAGAGCTCGATAGAAGCTCAAGAAAAGCTGAAATCGCAAACCAAAAACGTAATCTTGATATAAACTGTCATCAAATCTCATAACCTTTCAATGAAACAAAAAGCAAAGTGCAAAAGAGTAATTTTGCAAATCCTTGATATTAACTAAATCCTGTTTTAACAAAATGCAAGTGTCAAATAATTCCTAGGATTTGCTTGTTGTTTCATTATTAACAATGTTGCTATTCACTTCAATATTGAACAATCAATACTTTGATAACTTGATAACAGATAACATAGAAGTTGGTAAAAAATGCGAAAATAATTTGAACACAATTACCTGTATTGTTGAAATTCTTGAGACGCTTCTGATGCTCTGGTTTTGCTTACAAGAACATAAATGATTACTCCGAGGAAAAACAAGTTTACCTGAAACGAAAAGATTTCCATTATTCGGTTGAACCTTTTAACGAAGAAAAAAGTTGAAACGCAAATTTTACTTACCACTAATACAATTGATATTGGACAAATGTATATCAAGTCAATGATATTGATAACTTGCCAGGGACAGTTGAAGCTAAATAAAGATGTAAATGGAAAAGAAAGAAATGAGAAAAAATGAAACTTCTCATGCAACTATCGGTACAATATTTTCGATCAAACCAATTTACTAATTGTTGTAATGATTCCATTAATAGATTCTATTAGCTTTCATCTAACAATGCTATTTACATCTGAAAGGAAGTCAAAGTTTGGTGGAAAAAACTTTTCATTTATTCATGCATTATTCATAATTCGACATTTGCTGGAAAAATGGACATTTCTATTAATTCGTTTACTGTTCTAATGGCTTGATTAATGTCCATGTTTTGGTTAACATTTTAACTGGGAATAATTTAAAAGCGAGTTTTACCTTTTCACTGTTAGAGTTTCTTCATCTTCTTGATTGGGATAAAGGTATTTTATTGGTGCCCAGAGAGTTACCAGAATAACTGGAAAACCTGGGAGTGAAATTCAGTGATAAATGAAAAGAAATGGCGAATTATTCAAGGTTAGCATTTCGTTTGTTTCTCAGAATTGTTTTTTCCTTTTTCCTTGTTTTTCTTTTACTCTTTGGTAAAGTTTTTCAATTGAAGTTTACAATTTTTCACAGTTGAGTTTGAACAACAGTAAATCTTGAAATTGGTAAACCATTTTATTGACAAACTTGTCCAGGGAAACATATTTAATATAATTACAAACTCAACAATCATTTGATAATATGAGTTTAACTGAGCTTCTGCCAATAATGAAACTTTGTCCACTTGAATTTGATATCTTTCATGAAGTAGACTGAAGACAAAATAATATACATTAAACCCTTTGAAACTTCATTTCTCAAGCTCTGTTCAACATTCAATTATTTTATTGCAAAATGATGAAAACTTCCCAAAACAGATCCAATTCTGTAAACTGATGAAACCACAAAGTGAAACTTGAACAACTCACGTCTGGTCAATAATTGCAGAGAGAAAAGCATTTTTAAAAGTTCGATATTGACGATCGCATTTGAAATAAATCACCAAAAAAAACCGACAAAAACTTTTGGGTTTGCCTAAAGTATCTCAGTTGCTTCAAATTTTTGACAAAAACTTCAGACTATTTATCATTGAAGCAAACGGAAACTCGGTCATTTTTTGAATGGATTTTGATCAGAATGGAACAGAATTTTTTTGGTGTAAAAATGATTTAATACTTGAGCTTGAATGTATGTATGAGAGCATTTGAAAAGTGAAAGAATACAAGTTTTGTGATTGGGAAGGAAAACGAGGAAACTTGGTGACACTTACCCCAACCAATGAGAGCAAACAAGATGAGGTTGATTCTTTCGATTGAAAAAGTGCGAACAACAAGAATGTACAAGTAAAGTCCTTCCAGGAACATCCAGAAGAAACTTGATGCTGTAAAATAAGTTAAAAGTATATACAGGAAACAAATACCATGAAATGAAATCTGTGGAAAAAGATGAAGATGAAAATGGTTTTTTTTCTTCAAATAAATTTATTGTTCTTCACTAATCAAAAGATTTCAATTCGAGTTGAAAATTAGACAGTAATCCAACATGATGAGGGAAGATGAATGGTGAAAGGAAAGGTTTACTTTTCTTTTCATCATTCATGATGTGATGCTCGGCTAATGCTGGTAAAATTGATGGATCAACACTCGACCAAGGATTGAAGGAAAAAATAAACTCATCAAATGTCGCTTCAAATGCTTCATCAATTCACATGAAACCTGTTGCACAAGGATTGACTAAATATTTACTCATTTTGATCAGACTATTTGATTGAATCTTTTTTTAAGGTCAATAAAATTAACAATTTCAATGTTAAAAGTTTAAAAAGTTTCAACTTTAAAATTGCTAATCATTTGAAATGGAGAATTTTTCGTTTTTTTCTCTGAATAAATTTCAAAATAAAATGAAACAATTTCAGTGGAAAGATTGTGTAGGTTTGAGTTTCATGTTTCATTTGATGGAAATGAACACTTATACGTTCTTTCATGTCTAAGTTGACATTAGCTAGAGTTGGATTTACATGATTAAAACCTCGAAATGATACAAATTTGGTTGACTCTCATGAGAACTGTGTTTCAATGTAAATATTGAAATGAATCAATTTAGTTATTTAAAGTACAAGACAAACGTTTGCATTTTGTTTCTGCGTTCAATAACACAGTTATTGACAAAATTAATTAAAATAAGTATATTTTAAGCAAATAAAAGCAAAGGTTTACCAAACATTTGAATGTGAGTTTTGATCTCAAATTTTTATAGCAATTGTTTGCAATTGATTTGTTGAGCGTATTAACAGTCAATCGATTGCATGACCCTTGAACTTACACTTTGTGGTCTTGCTTTTTGCTTACCCCATCTTGTGCTTCAATTAGCTGAAAATATTCATATCATATCCAATTTGGTAGCTAACGAACTAACTTTTATTCGTTATTGAAGCAAAAAGCAAAAGCAAACCTTTGTCTTGGACTGTAGTGATTGACAGGGAACTATTCAATCATGATTAGTATTTTGTTTACCTTGTAAGTAGCCAAAGAGCTGTCTTGGAGTGAAGCAGTTGCAATCCAAGTAAGAGCATGAAACATGTAAGATAACATTAGATTGATGTGTATTGTATTCCTGATACAATGTAAGTCTCTAATAAAGGGTTAAAGGTTTGAAGAAAAGAAAAGGAAAAGTATTGATAAAGTTAATTATTCACAAGAGATGAATTTAAATTTGGTGAATCTTAATTTGTAATGGCAAGTCAAATCTAACCTTGGCTTTAATCAATCCAAACTTTCCAAGTTTTATTTTTACTTTTCCTCAGTTAATTTACATAAAAATCAATAAATTTTCAACCTACATCGGCTAACAATTCAAATGCAATAGTAAACTTTTCTTGTTCATTCTTTCCTCTCTATTAGTATCTGTTTCTCAATTCAATCCTACCAGACTGTATTATTTTAAACTGACGATGTTTTGAACTTGAAAACAAAGATTATTTGGCTTTGTTGTATTGTATTATTGTAACGATGTAAAGTGTCAAAACAGTTTCTATTAGTTTTTCTTTGAAAGCTCAATTCAGAAGCCAAATGTACTGATTCAATAACAAGTGAAGACAAGAAAGCTTCTCTCACAGGTTCGCATGCATTGGATAAACGATCTGTAAACAGTGAATGCACACAACTGTTTAAGAATCATATTTACAACAAGACTTCGAGAGCAAAACAAGTGATGTCAAAGTGAAAAATGGCTCTAATGTGAAGACAATTACATTTCAATTGTCTAATAGGAAAACGTTTTTACTCTGTTTTCTTCTTTGACCCATTAAACTGGACATTTACCTCATGGAAATCGCTGAAGTAACATTTAATTCAAGTTGCAACATAATTTCCATACAACTTGGGTTCATCAAGTTCATCACTGAGTTCACCATTTCATAATCAAACCTTTAAATTATGAAACAAAGTCGAGAAAACCAGAATTTGTACTTCTCGTAATTCACTGTAACTCCCTTGATAGATGGATTTTCAAGGATAAAATGTTAGTTCTAACTTGACCAGCTTTCATGTAAAACTAAGTGGGCAACAGTCTGAACTATTGATAGCTTTTCCCTATTATGAAACTCTTCCGACTCAATAACAAATCAAATCAATCAAAATATTCTAATTCTAATTCAAACTCACAATGAAAGCAACTTGAATTAAAACATTGCCAAAGCTTGAAAACTGATTGAAATGATGAAAAGTAGCTTAAAATTACTTCACCCAATCTCTCTGATCTACTTTTAAACAGTTTCAAGACTTTCGTCAAGCTTTTAATCAATCAATTAATTAAAGACTGGCATTAATTTATTTCTTTTAGACTTTCTTTTTTAATTTAAAGACTAATTATGCATATGTTCATGCAATCCAAAGTCAACTCAAGAAGGAAAAAATAATTTCAATTAAGTCTGATTACCATTAATAAAATTGTAAAATTGATTGGTAACACTCAACGTTAAACAGCACCTAAGACATGATCGAGCAAAATACTTACTTGAATGTAATCAAAATTGCCAAGGCAATGAATAAAGCTACAATTGATAATCCATAACCAAAATAGTATACGATAGAAGCATCTGATAGGTCGGTAAATTCCTGAATTACAAAGAAAATCAATTTAAACAATTCATCAGTTTATCCGAGTAAAGCACATTGAGCAAAACGATTTGCTATTTTGAGCAAACATCAGAATGATCATGCAAATTGAATCACACAAATTCTCTTGTTGACCAAGTTGACCTTTAATTCAATTTTGCCCAGAAAATGTATCTTTAATTGACTGGGTCTACACAATTCTGATCAATTTATCGATCATAAATTGTTGCAAGTTTAGGTTACATGGTCAAGTAAACTTACGTTAAAATTTTGTGCAATTTCTTGTTCCAATGCTTTGCACTTGGAGTAATCTGATTTTTCTGCCCAAAAACCATTTGGAAGACACATTCGACTAGCATTTCCTAAGTGTCCAGCAAGTGAAGAGAATTGAAGAGAAGAACAAAAAGACGCAGATTAAGCCATTTCCATATTTCATTATCAACCTCAACATTATCATGATAACTTTTATTGCGATTTAATGCAGTAAATTGTTTGCTTAGCTGTTTAGCTAAACTTTAACCAAAATCAAAGTTAATAAGCAAAACAAGAGCAAAGGTAAACATTGGTATGAAAATCAAGAAGACAAGAAACTCCAAAAAGATCAACTACCAAATCGATGAGACAATAAAGTTATCCAGTAAAGCAAACAGATAAACGAATAATGAACATGATAATGTCAAGAATCTCGATGGAAATGAAATTCAATGAAAAACAAAATCCTTTGCAATACTCACGGCTGGTATCATAAGGTACATCGTTCAGTTCGGCAAAACAGGGAATCACAGCAATGTCGTTAACTAACGTTAAAGGCCAACAAGAGATGCGATCCCATGTTGGTGGACAGTGTATTTTACCATTAACTGAAAACAAGACATTTTTCATTAGAATTTTATTAACCAGAAAAACTCCCAATTCGCACTCCCAGAGAAATTTTTATATTTTCATTTTCTAAACAATCTAAAGTTACATTCCTTGAACATCCAGTTAACAAGTTTTTTTGTGATACATTTCGGTTCATTGTCTAAGCTCGTTTAAACGATGAAAAGAAGAAAAATTTTCTCAATCGATTCGATAATTTAATTAGATTGTTCAAAGTCTGGTAAAAGTTTTACCGGTTTTCCGGTTCAACACTGAATCAGATTAATGGACAATTTCCAACTGAGCAAGTAATGATTCAATTTAACCAGTTCTTCCTCATTTAAGCATTTCACTATTTTCAAGCTCAATTGTTGTAATCGTTTTTTCTGTTGATTTTAAAAATAGATAAAATGTAATAAAATGACGGAAAATTAAGAGTCATTTAATAATGATTCAAATTCAATGTCAATGAAAATTCAACTTATATCAAAAAATGTCGATTGATTTTCTTTCTTCTTTAATTGCAAATGGAATGCAAAATTAAATTGAATTTGTGGGAAAATGAATTGATTTTTGTCTTACCTTCGATTGGTGTAGATTCAGTTGAACTGTAAACTATTCCGTTATCATTGGAATTGTTAGTGTAACTGCAATCAACCAGATCGTCATTAATTTTATCCAGAATCTCAGATGCATTGTAATTTACTTCATTGGTTTCCATTGAATGGAAATTGCCTTTATAATTGTTGATAGCACAGGTTAAAAGTGTTCAATTTACATTGATCTTTAGTCACTTGTTGAACAGTTGATTTATTGGTTGCTGTTTGGAGGTTAAATGACAGTAAATTATGGGCTGAGTAAGTCAATGAATAAATTTGCTCGTTTGAAGTCAACTGATGCATTCATTGTTTCAATTTTCATTTCAAGATCCATTTATGGTTTGTTTTTGGATTAATTTAATGAAACTTGCTTTTACAAGACAAAAAGTGTTATTTTGATTGAAATTAAAGGCTGAATAATTTTCTTAGCAAATAATGTTGAAGCATTAGAGTAACATTGGTGAATGAACTGATCGCATTCACACAATTTGTACAATTGAATGCGCAAGGCAAATATTGATCAACTTGTAACAAAATGATGAACACTTTTAGACTCTTCTGGTTTATACTGATTTATATCAACTCAAACACTCGACTAATATCGTGATGAATTTATTGTAATTAAAGCGTTTAATTAAGAGATTTTGTTTAACCAAAGGCGAATTGAATATCAAAATAAACTGATCAAGTTTAATGCTTGTATTGGCAGCTTATTTGTGGACAGAGTTACAAGATTTTTTGACATCTCTGGTTAGTGATTGATGAAAGGAATGGTTATACTGATAGTTGCGATGCAATTGGCAAAATATGTGTTAATTTATTGAGAGTTTGCGTTTATAACTTGTTCAATGTTAATTTAATCTGAAATTTTTGTGTAAAAACTTGGGATTCGATAAATTCAAATTGAATTGTGTTCATCGAATTTTGATTCACTTGTGTCTTGAGAATGTCAACTTAAATAACTTAACCTCAACTTGATTAATATTGTTGATTATACAAGGTTGTTAATTGAAGATTTTGAAAGTCTCATCTCAGATCTGTCAGATCTCTGAGTCTATGCTCATCCCTGAAGAAACCTTTCACATCCTTGAAGACATAACTGAAGTTAGCTTAATTTGCTTGGATTACGATGGATTGATATTTATTGTCAATTTTATTTCTGAATATTAGAAAAGTTTTCATCCAAAGTTATCTCTAAAAATCATTCCAATCAGGCTATCAGTATGCGTGTTAAACACGAAATTCAGCCTAATTGAGAGTAACCAGAATAATTTTGGTCACGCTTAAGTTGAAAGTTTGTCTCTAGATGGAGCGAGTTTTGCCATTTTGTACAAATTTTGGGTCAATAACGAAAAATTTTGAACAAATTTAATGCAATTTAGATTTTTCAAGTCAGAGTTAAAACTTTGATCACTTTTGTACCGTTACGAAAGCAGATTTTCCCATGAAACCTATTTTACTGATGGTGCTTTTAATGATCAACCAGAAATGTACTTATTTTGACAAATAGAACTTCGCTTTTCCTGAAAATATTAGTAGATTAGGTTTTGAGTTAAACCGACCGTTTTCTGCGGTGAATAAGAGTTAGAGACCTGAAACTTATTATTTTTCGATAAAAGTTGCAGGTACAAACCATGGAGTAAATATTTGTTTCAATTTAACAACATTTCTCTCGATCTTGGGTCATTGGCTTTAAAACTTTGAAGTTCAAAATTTCGAGAATGGCATCACTTACAATCACTATTCTGTCACTGTCATTGATCTTTTACTATTTAATAATCCAATGCAATTCAAAAACTTTTCATTAATGCATTCGGGTTGCGATTTTTGGGTTGTTGACGGACGAGAAACAACTTATTCAACAAACCAAACTCATATTAATGCATATCTTGGTAAATAAACCAATTTTCTGGTTAAACCTGCAAATGAAAGGCAAAGAATGCTGCAAAAACCTCGATCTTTTGAGTAAAGAGCTGAGACTTTTTAGGTTTGTAGGTACATGAAAACTAAATCCATTGGTACAATTAAAGAATTCATCCGATGGACGGTTTTCAAGAAAATCGAGGTCAAAGTTGAAACTTCGATCGCCTTTTGTACAGAAGTGTGACCAAAATTTTTGATGAAACTCATTTTGCTGTAGTAACTTTTGATAGTTAACCAGAAAATGGACTTATTTTGTGAATTAACATTTTCTGTTACCTTCAAAGCAGATCAGTTCGCTTTTTAATTAAACCGACAGCATTCTGTGACCATAAGAGTTACATGGATGAAACTTATTATCGATCTATAAAAATTGTTTGTAAACATTATGGCCATAATAATTTTCTAAATTCATCTCCAGTTCTCTTGATTTTGGTCATTAACCCGAAAACTTTGAGCCTCGATATTTCGAGAATGGCATCAACTACAGTCATCATTCTTTAATCAATCATTAGATTACATTATGGACTATAACAGCATATGATTGAATATCGAATAAAATTTGAGCCAATTCATTTAATAATGATTACACTTTTAACGTATAAGATTTGTGTTTTATAACCATTGAACATTATAAATCAAGTTTCAAATCTTAATACGGTGCTATGACTTTTTTACGGGACAGAGAATAATTCAATGTTTCAATATTTCATAGGCCATAATGCAATTCAATGTTTGGTCAAAGAATGAGGATTCTAGATGATAGCGATACCGAAATATCGAGGCTCAAAGTTTTCGGGTTAATGGCCAAAATCAAGAGAACTGAAGATGAATTGAGAAAATAATTATGGCCATAATGTTTACAAACAATTTTTATAGATCGATAATAAGTTCCATCCATGTAACTATTATGGTCACAGAATGCTGTCGGTTTAATTAAAAATCGAACTGATCTGCTTTGAAGGAAACAGAGAATATTAATTCTCAAAATAAGAACATTTTCTGTTTGGTCTTCAAAAGATACATGAGTTATATGAGTTTCCTCAAAAAACCTTCTTCCATAGCTGAACAAAAGGCGATCGAAGTTTCAACTTTGACCTGGATTTTCTTGAAATCTGTCCATCGGATGAATTCTTTAATTGTACCAATGGATTTAGTTTTCATTTACCTACAAAACTACGAAGTCTCAGCTCTTTACTCAAAAGATCGAGGTTTTTGCAGCATTCTTTGCCTTTCATTTGCAGGTTTAACCACAAAATTGGTTTATTCACCAAGATATGCATTAATATGAGTTTAGTTTGTTGAATAAGTTGTTTCTCGTCCATTTAAAGCTCAGAAATCGTTACCAGAATGAGTTAATGAAAAGTTATGCGATCGAATTAAATTATAGATTAGCAAAGAAGTAAATCGGTGAAAGAATGAAGACTGTTGGTGATGCCATACTCGAATATCGAACCTCAAAGTTTTAAAGTAAATGGCCAAAATAAAGAGAACTGTTGTTGTATTGAAAAAGTTATTTAATCCATGATGTGTACCAATAACTGCTATAGTTAAATAGCAAGTTTAAACTCTCTAACTCTTATGGTCACAAAATGCGGTCACGAAAACTCAAAATCGAACTTATGTGGTTTACAGAAAAAGAAAAGTTCTATTTCTCAAAGTAAGTACATTTTCTGGTTGAATATCAAAAGTTAAATCGGTAAAATAAGTTTCATGCAAAAACCTGCTTTCATAATTGTATGGAAAGCGATCGAAATTTCAACTTTGACATCGATCTTCTCGAAAACTAACGATCAGAGAATCTTTTAAATCTTACGTTTTTCAATTTACCCAGAAGGAGATTCATAACTATTAATGTAAGGCATCAATATTTTAATGATTGGACGAGAAGAAGCCGGTGGTTATCCATATCAAACAAATGAATAGCCACGAAGTTGGTAACTTTAATTCATCTTTCATTTTCAATTTTTAGTTTTATTCATTCAAAATTCTGAAGCAGTAACTCATAAATTTTCTTTTAGTTGAAAGCAAGTCAATAAATTTTAAGAAACATTATTTTGATATTAACTTATTACTTGCTGAAAAGCATTGATTTTATTGCATTCGATTTACAATTAATAACAAGTATAAAAAATATTTGAATATGATTATGATGAGGGAACGGGAAGACTAAGAAAGGGGAAATTAGCGATGCAAAATGAGCCCGTTTTGAATCGATTGCATCAAATGAGCTTCAAATTTTTACAATCGCCCATTTCGTTGCTTTACCTTTCCATTCCAATAATATTTATGAAAATGCAATTTTTTTGGCTTAAAATAGATTAATTTTTTTCATCTCATTTCATAATGAATATTGAATTAAAATCATTTTCTAAAAATTTAGATCAGTAATGATCTTCTTCAGCGTAGTGAACCTTTGCTGGTCGATATGATTGATGTTCCTTGTAAGTTGGAAGTGGTTGATAGGTTGGCACTGGCTTGTAGTTGTGTGCTGGAGTGTAAGGCTCTTTAACATATTGAGGTTTGTAGCTTGATGGACGGTACTGGACTGCACCATATGAAGGTCCATATGTACCAGTGTAATGACTGGTTGGGTAATAATGTGATTTAGGGTAGCTGGCTGGTTTGTATGAGTCGACTGGGTAATGTTCAACAGTCTTTGGTTCATATGCTGGTCGGTAACTTGGTGACTTGTATTCAGCATGTTGTGGTTTGTATTCTGGTTTGTAGGCTGGTCGGTATTCTGGTTGGTATTCAGGTTTGTATTCAGGCTTGTACTCAGGCTTGTATTCGGGTTTGTAGTCAGGTTTGTATTCTGGCTTATATTCTGGCTTGTATTCTGGCTTGTAGTCAGGTTTGTAGTCAGGCTTGTAGTCAGGCTTGTAATGAGCTGGAAGTCCCTTTGGTGGCTCGTTAACTTCAAGACTAACACCAGCAGGTTGCTTCTTAACTACTCCAGGCTCATTAGTCTTGATAGTTGCTCTGAAACCGTATTCATCAGCAACATAATCGACAACCCGGTATACTCCATAAGCATCGGTGTATCTGAAAAATGAAAAAATTAATTGATTAATTTTATGCTTGATTAATATAACTTTAATTTCCAGTCATTGACATTTTACAGTCAGCGTCAATTTATAATTAAGGAGCAACTTACCCGTATGAACCCTTTTTGTTTCCATAATCATCTCCTTTCTCTTCTGTAAATTTGAAAAGGGAAAACGTGAAAAATTATTAATATTGAGCTTTGAAATTTTTATCAATTCAATTTTCACATTAGACTAACCTTGATGTCGGACATTTCCATATCCGTCATCAACTTGGTATCCGTAGTTGTAAGGCTGCTTGTACTCTGAGTTATATTCGGGTTTATGTTCTGGCTTGTAAGCAGGTTTATATTCTGGTTTGTATTCTGGTTTATACTCTGGTTTATACTCTGGTTTATATTCTGGCTTGTAAGCGGGCTTGTATTCTGGTTTGTATTCTGGTTTGTACTCTGGCTTGTACTCTGGCTTGTACTCTGGCTTGTACTCTGGTTTATATGCTGGTCTGTATTCGGGTTGATATTCGGGTTGATAGTCTGGCTTATAGTCTGGTTTGTAGTCTGGTTTGTAGTCGTGCTTGTATGGTCTTGGAGCATAAGTTTTTGGGAGATCAACATCATGAGAGTATTCATGAGAGTATCCAAAAGCTTCTGGTTCACGAGCTTTGTATGGCTTGTAAGTTGCTGGTTTATAAGGATCTGATCGAGGATAAGTTGGCTCGTATTTGGGTGAATATGCATGTGGTGAAGGTGGATGATAAGGAGCTGGTGGTGGCCCGTAATCAGCCAAAGTCATTCCCAATAAGGGTAAAACCAGTAAAATCTATGGGACAATGCAAAGAAAATGGAAGAAGAAAATATGAGACCATTTGGGTTACAAGTTGATGAAAGTAAACTTATAAATCTACAAAAATCGAAGATCAATCACAACAAAAGTGAAGCACTCAAATGAACTAGCAGTCCAATTGAAATAACAGAGGAGATCCAAGCACACTATCCATGGTATTCCGTATTGATTGAATCACATCTTTCAACCGTTTCTTAAACTTCAATTTACACAATTTATAAACTCAGCAAACAAATAAAACTACTTACTTTAAACATGGTTAATTTGAAGAAAAACTAAATTTGCACGAAAAAATATGACTTCAACTTTTCCAGCCAATGAACAATTTACAAATGACTTAACATCAACTTCGATTCCTCTTTTTTTATATAAAATACAGAAGAGCCGAAAAAGGCCGAACTATAAAACGATTTTACCAAATGTCCAATATTATGCATAATATTAAAATTATAATAAAAGCGAGGAAAGAAAGAGAAAGAAAAGAAAAACAAAATTTACCGTAAAAAACTGGGCTGACCAATTGATATTACATATTGATAGAAAAGAGAGAAAGAGAAAAAAGAAAGAGAAGAAAAGTGGGCGCGATTTTTGATTCCCAAATGTAGCTATCGATTGAACTGAACAAGGAACAGATTAAGTATCTTTCTTTATGTTAATCAGTCGATTATGATTAAACTCTCTCCATGTTGAACATAATCTTCTTCGTTCTCCTCCTTCTTTCTATACCCAACCAATATATCGACTTCAGCATCACTTTCACTCAGGCCTTAAACCAGATTTTAATTTATCATTATTTTTCATTCCCTCTTCTCTCTCTCTCTTTTCCCCTTACTCACTCATTTTCATCATCAAAATCAAATTAATCAAAACTCAATTGCAGCACTTGAACAACCGCTATTAAGCCTGTCCAAGCGCTGACCCAGTCGATATTGATCAATATATATATATTTTTCCTGACCTTGCAACAATTTATTTTATCTCAAATTATGAATTTACATTAACACTTTAATATTATCACAATAAAGACCATATCAAATGAATAGGAGACTAAATTGACTTTTGGACAATGTTATTATTGTTAATTTGTATTGTAATTAACTGTTACTTTCAACAAGTTAACGACTTTTCCTTTGTTCAACAAGATTCAACTTAATGATGTTAATTTGTCTTATATCAAATGATATTGTTAAACATTACATTAGCCATTTTAATCAACATTTTATCATTTAATAACATCAATATTAAACCAGCAAATTGGTCATTTTCAATTCTCATATCAACCAAGTTGATCGTCTTTGGTTATGAATAAACCTTTTCCATCCTCAAACGCATTATCTATCAATATCTCAATATTTTACATTCAATTTGATATTAATTTTAACACTTTTATTGATATAATTTCAATAAATGACAACCTTGAATGCAACAATTAAATCCAATCATTTATTAGCCTTGATTTGAATCATTTATTTTTAAAATACAAAAAACCAAAAGTGACACAAATTGACTCTTGAAACGACTGTAATTTACCGATAAACTAACCATTAAAGGGTCGATATTTTTACTCAATTATTTTCAGTTTTTCCTTTGTTTTGACCATCGATCGATCATCGATGGACTCAGGCAAAAGTCGTGATTGAAAGCCTCCAGGTAAATCGGTAATCAACAGTAACATTAATAACAAACATTCGTAAATTAAATTGCAAAAGTTAAAAACAAAAGATGAGAAAAAAGAAAACAAAAAGTACCAAAAATCGCATTTGAAGCTTGCATTTTCCCACCAGAAGAGTCGAGACAGATAATCGTAAAATTGAACTCAATTTGAATCGTAATAATCAAACAATATTGATTAATCATGAATAATCAAGAGCAACAACAAAACCCATTTTATTGGAGATATTGAAAAATGATATTGAAAACAAATGAAAGTGTCGTTAATCAATAATCTAACCCAAGGATAAATCAGATTATGAGAAAAAAAGGAAACAATTTTTCCTCTTTTTTAATTCAATTCAAGACCAATTATTAAATTGTTAATTATTGAATTGAACCTTCAATTCAACTCTGTAAAGGTACAAATTGAACTGAATTGATTGTCCGAAAAGTGAAAGTCCAATTTGCATTTGATTGAAGTAAAGACAACATTTAAATTACATTTTTACCATAAAAAACAAATTTACCAATCTTGACCTTTTTTGCCAACTCTGTAATACAATCAAGGTTGAGATGTTGATCAGTCAACCTTTGACTTGGACAATGAGGTCAGCAAGGGCCTTCAGGGTTCTACCTCTAGATATGAGTTTACTGTTGTAATTACAATCAAATGTTAATCAAAATCTTTGATGGAAAAATTTTCTTCTTTTCTTTCTCTCTCATTTACGATTCTTACCAATGAAGGAAACTGGCCAATTCCGTTGATATCCAATACATGATCGGACTTCAACTTTTCCTCATCTCCTCCCGTTCATCAATTAAGATCATCTTCATTAACATTTTCTGGTCTCAACAATTTGCTCCAATTGAACCGTCTAAAATGAAGCCTCCAATTGAGATCAATTTTACCGAGAGTTGACAGCAAATGGTTATCATTATTTTAAATCATTTGACGTTTCAAACACTTTTTCCAATTTTTTTCATCAAATCAGTAAAATTGTGAATAAATTGAATTGAAATCAATTTATGCTCATCTTTACCCGAAATTGGGTTAACCATTGATTAGACAATTTAATTAAACTCATCAGTTTACCATGTAAATCAATCCAACTGTGAGGTAACCAGAAAAGGTATATGTGCTTATAATTGAAACCAATTACCAACTGTTGATCAATTGATTATTGATCAATTCATTTCTTTTCTTCACCTTCTTTTGATTAAAATAAGATAAAAGTTATTCGCTTTATTGATTAATTGTGTTGATTGATGGGATCGATAGTGAAATTTCAATAATAATGTTGTTCAAGTGTTTACCTTTAAAATCAATGTTTTACATAATCATATAAAAATGATGTGATAATCAGTTTTGAGTTGAAAAAAAACGATTAAAATCATTTGTAGGTTGAGTTAATGTAAAGATTTTCAAGTTTGAAATTAAATTGTTCAATTTGCTTCCGTCTTTTAACAATAACTTGATCATCAATCAACCATCAATACAACAATAAACATTCATTAATCAAACAAGTCTTGTTGGTAAATCAAAGGATTCTTTTAATTACCATTGATACATTTTGCTTGTGAGTTGAATACAAATTAGATTATTCATCGAGACTAATCTAATCACTTGTTAACACTTGTTTAAGCAAATGTTGTCTTTTTTTTACGATTTCAATGGTTAATCTTGAAATGAAAGATTAACTGATTAACTGTGAAATGGTAATTAAGAGCAGTAATCAAAAAAGGTAAACTCAAAAAAAGGTTCAATAGCGAAAAGCATAAATCCAAATACGATAAATTAACCTTAACAATTAACTGTTAATAAAAGCTTCATTCATCACCTCAATATTAACTTTAACCTTTTCTTAAAATTGAAACTCAATTCAACTTTGCTTATTAACTGATTGTATTATTAAACACTTGATCTTGTTAACTGTATTAACATTTAATTTCAATTGTAATATTTGATTCAACTTTCCCGTGTGATTTACTGGTTAATCTGTAACGGTTAACTGTAACACTTTAATCTTGAGCTAATCTTAAAAAATAATGATAACTGTTTCAGGTTAAATTGTAATCTCATTGATTGTTATTGTCTTTTGGTTAACATTTTCCTGGTTCAAATGTTAAATATTTAACCACAGAGATTAATCAACAATTAACTCTAATTACGTTGATTGATCATTTCTTCATTTGTTTGTTTATTGCTTTTTATGTTGTTTGGTTAACCAATTTTTCTGGTCATTCAGCTGTTTTTTTTTCTGGTTTACAATTTGTTTTTTGTTTCAAATGTTTCATATCTGATTAGATTGATCAATAATTAGTTGTAAATGTAAACAGTTAGGGATAATTATTGCTTTTCATAATCAAGGTTTGATTGGACCTTTAATGTTGCCACGAATTTACAATTTTAACAAATTCAGTGCAATTAGCCGACGGCTAATGAGTACTTTATATTGCTCGGAAAACAAACTTGATCATCCATCGTGAAGATTCAACGTTTGCTGATAATTTTTCATTTCTTTCTTTCTTTCTTTTTTTTCTGGGTCGAAAGTTGAACAATTTTTAATTGTAATTAACAACACACCTTGTTTAACTAAGGTCTTGCTAATCAATTTGCTAAACATTGGCCCAACAACATTGATATTTTGTTTCGGAAAAAGTGTCCGCTCATTATTTTTGACATTGATTATTGTGCTTTGTGTTTTCAATGGAAATTAATTTCACTTTTTTATATTAATTGGGTAAAAAGATACCAGAAAATTGTAACCAGAAAGATTACTTTAGGTGCCATTGGATGAAGGATGCTAGTTAAGCAAGGAAATTTTGTTTCCTATTCATGGCTGGTTCCTTCAGGATTGAGATTTTATTTGATTTGGAAAATTGTTATTAACTTTATTAGATTTAATTATTAGGGAAATTGATTTAATCATTTGTTGGCTATTTTTGGGTTTCTTTTTTGGATTTCGCGCCAGCCAGAGGGCGTATTGAAAAAGCTCATATTAGATGAAATTTTTGACACCAAAGGAAATAGTTTTTGGTTTGTTCGGTTAGATTGTCAACTGAGAATTCATTTTTTTATTTTTTAATTGTTACTGTTCCATTATAATGGCTACTAATGTATCTTCTGGTTTCAGGAAAATCGACATTGATTCTTTCAATGATGATGTGTTTAAAGAGGATGATCAAGTGGTTTCCCAATCATCAGGAACTTCATTAGATGACAAGGAGATTTTACAATTGTGCTCTGCTGGTAAACATTATGAAGCCATTAAATCTATATTTGATCTTCAACCCCAATCCTCTGGTGATTCCGCTATCAAAGAGTTGGCATTCAATTTAATCATGCAAGTTTTCTTGGCTGTTAAGACGGGAGATATTGATAGGATTGTGGACAAACTTGACACCGACCAGATTGATCTGTTAATGAAATATGTTTACAAAGGTTTTGAAAGCCCACAAGAAGGATCTTCATCCAATTTATTGGTCTGGCATGATAAAATATTTCGTAAAAGTGGTCACGGTGCCATTGTTAGGGTGTTGACGGATAAAAAGAAAGTTTAACGACCATTTTTATTTCCTCAAAGTTAGTGCACAAATATTTAGTACTATACATAAACACCTTATTTAGTGCACAAACCTTTTTTTTCTACTGTTTTCTCTGATCATTTATTTCCTTGCTTCCCTGAAATCGAGTCAATTGTTGAGCAATAAACGTTATTTTAATATATAAATAAGGTGAAACTTTCATTCAACCATCATGTTATCTCCTTCATTGATACACAAATCCGTGAAACTTCTTTACATGGGCATTTTGATTTTATTATGAGACTCTATGAGTCATAATACGAGTGAATGTTGAAAATATTTCTGATTGGAAGTATTGATAAAATATGAATAACCGATTGTATTGATATCGATTGAAGAAGGCTTGGTAATTTTATTCTGAATGTGAAAATAATTATCCAGATCATTTTGATTTATTTTATAAACGCAAGTTAGTTCAACAGATGATCTGCATATAAAAAGAAGTAATTTCTGTTTCTTTACATGTTTGACAGTAAAGAAAATATTTACGTAGTTTATAAATATTACGGTGGAAAAAAGAAGAATATAAACATTTAATAATGATTTTCAAGGAAAGAAACATAATCGGTCAATTTTTCTAACTGCTCTTGATTAGACGAAAAGACATTTTCTTCGTCGTGAAGGACCTTCTTGGATATTATAAAACCAAATGGAGCATCGATCTTCCATCCTGCTGATTCACCCAGTTTTATAATCTCTTCTTCTGTTGTACATCCAGTCATCTGCATGGCATCACTCAGACTGATTGCTGTATAACCTTTACTTATTAAATGTATAATACGGGATTGCTGTTCTTTCCTCAGATGGCTCATGATTGAAGTTAAATGAGATGGCCATGTTTTTGAATCAATTTGACTGTAAATAGCAGCATAATCACCTTGAATTAGACTTTTACCAATGTCCCATATTGCTTTAAGAGAATCAGATGAGTCTTTAATTGTTTGGGGTATCCTTTTCCAAAGAAATTTGGCATTAAAAGTATCATTATTGGCTAGATAAATGGCGAGAAGATTTTCATAGTCAGCTGCTTCGATATCCTTAGTTTCCAACTCCTTCTGTTCCAATTCTTCCATAACCACATCAAATTTTAAATCACATGTCATTGAAACATCGGCCATTATTCGTGTTACACGATAAATCAGAACTTGATTAAATTGGTAGATAAAAAACAAAGTTGAACGCAAATAGAATCAACAAACTGCACACACTAGATTAGTTAACATTAAAGCCATTTGAAAAAAACAAACCATACCTATGTAATTATAAGAAATAGCAAGAGATGTCAGCATTAGAAAATGTTCAAAAAGCTGATTTTATTTCAATTTTTGTATACTTTTCATCCAATCTAATTAAATGTCAACTTTAATTAAACCAAAATGAGAATAACTAATTTTTCCGTTTTAATGGCTTACAAATCAAGGTAAGATTTCGGATTCCTTTCTTTCAGTTTCCATTCCGCTCTTATTCATCGGTAAATTCATATTGATGCGCAGCTATTATTTCAATCTTCTGAGCGCAATAACAGTGATTATCATGCTACATCTAGGAGATGGAGAATAATGTTGAATATAAAGGATGATGAAAATGATGAGGAGTAGGAGAAGAAAAGGGAAAGATGCTGTAGAATCCATGCTTTGATAGATTTTGATTTTGTTTTGAGCTGTTGTAGTCAGCTAGTGACTCTTTATTAGCCTCCACTTGTCTTTCAACCTGTCTTTTTCCCAATTTTGATTTCATCAAAGTTAGTTTTATAAAAATGGTTTAATAATTACTTCTCTGATATTCTAGAGTGAAATAGTTTGTTCTTCATGATAATTTTCCATCAAAATTTAATCTCATTTCATCGACAAATTTCATTTGAATTCTCAATGGGACATCTTTGTTTACTCTTGTGAATGTTTTGTTTACATCAAAAATTCTCATTCTCAAAACATATTTTTAAATTTGATGACAATCATCTTTACTCACTAATGTTTTATTTTTATTTACATCTGTCTCACCTATTATTTCAGCCAAATTTTCGTCTTCCAGCTATATCAAAGCTAATTTATATTGGATGATGTAGACGCTATAGATATCCACCAGATTGACCAGCAATGGTTACCAAGTCTTTCAATTTGGATAAACAGATGTAACTATTTCAAGAAAACCAACTAGCCACATCTTTGGTGCCTTTACTTTCAAGCAAAGTCAATTTACTCATTATCCAAAAGTCTTTCAAAAATATTACTCAATTAATCGACAAATCCAAGTCTTCCAAGTTGATTGAAAATTATCTCATTGGTAGTCACCATTTAAGGCTATCATTCCATATAAATATTAGCAAATCGCAATAATATCATTAGAATAGAATTGATTTTCTAAGCCATTTAAACCAGTCTTTCAATTAGATCAAAATATTATAATAAGTCTTTCAATCAATTCGATAATCACAAATTTCATAAACCATGTGTTCTCAAGCTTGCCTCCAAGAGATGGAGAAGTTTTGGAAAGATTCAATTCGATCCTTGCTGGTGGCTGCATTATCATCTCAACATCATGGTAAATGTCCAGTATCCGAAGTCTCGGACGAACCAAATCAAGCCACTTCGAGCTCTACAATAGCATCACCTTCATCATCAACACCCTCTTCCAGTCTTTCAACCAACACATCTGTGAATATAACTCCTGGTGGATCGAAACACGAATCATCAACATTCTCATTATCACCATTGTCAACCACATCCCAAATTGCCATGAACAACTCAACTTCTTTAACTCCAATGGTAGAGATGACAGCCTCTCTTTTGAGTGATATTATCTCTAATCTGTCAGTTTTAAAGTCAAATCAATCGAGTCAACAACAAAATCAAGCACAATCCAATACAAAAGGAAAGGTTAAACGGAAGCGAAGGCGCAAAAGATATACTCTTGCTCAAAAACAGCGATTCCTTCAGCAAAGCGTTTGGAGCTCAACAGAAAACAATGATGGTCAATTGAGAGTTCAAAGTGTTCTCAGGTAAGATTTTTTGTTCACTTATCATTAATCCAAGAGCACCGTGTTAAGTAGGCTGTCAACTAGTTCCTGAAACGTTCTCATTGAACCTGCTTTTTGCCTTTTAAGTACAAGCTTTCCATTTCTTTTAAAAAACTCGCAAAAAACTAAAATAAGCTTTTGATATTTAAACAAGCTTTTTATCAAGTCTGTCACCCAATACAAAGAAATATAATGTAAAGAGTCATTTTAATTTATTGCTTGATTCCTATTTGATTCAATTCACCCACTCTTCAGTTTCAACAACTTTTCATATTTTTCATTCCAATCGTAAAATGAATAAGTCAATCGCCATAAAATACAAAAGATGGATTTGATTAGCTCCACTTAATCGGCAGAATCTTTTCAGAAGCTTCATGAAGCTGGATTAAATTAATTCCTCCAATAAATTTGTGATTGATTGAATTGCTAGCAAAAAAAGACAAAAGTAATCACTTATTATGTCTCGATTTTTAAATTAGCATATAACAGCATTGAATTGTAGCCTTAACAGCGGTAAGCTATCTATTCTAGATCAACCTGAATTCAAATGATTATTGGAAATGAATAAAAAATTTCCGCCAATTATGCTATGAATGTCACATAAAAATATTGGTAATGATTCTGATTCAGTTCATCTCGATCAACATCCCTGTTTTACAAATATCACAACAAATTGACTACACTTTTGCATACATGTAATAACATTTAGTGACATGTCGCTTCACGCAATCTCTCGTTTTCCCTCTATCTTTCACGATTCTCTGCCTTTATCTTTCCCTATCATCATCTTTTCTTCCCTTTATATCTTCTCTTTCTTTCTAATATTTCTATTTTTTAGGTTCGATCGATGGGGTAGAACTATCTTGTTACCTTATCAACCATTTTCCCCTTACCATTGGCCATTTCATTATACTATTCAGTTTATTTTACTCTATGCGCAAATTATTTTCAATTTTTGCTTTCGACCATTAGCATGACCATCGAATTTAATATTAAATGAAATTTTTCAATGATAACAGTGTTATTTTCTCACTCCATTGAGCTTCATTGTTGTTCCGAATAAATTTGCTCGTTCAAAGTAAATATCAATTTCTTATTCTGTCATTTCTATTTTCCCTCTTCTCTATGTCTTCCTATTTTGGTTCATCTCCTATGTATTTACATGAATCTTTCTAGTTGACCAGTTTTAAACCTTCACGTGTATAAAATGTATTGAAATTGAAATTCTGTGATTTATCTAGCTTTTATTTAAACTATTATTCGTGTTATTATCTTTATTAATGTGTTTTTCATCTCTTTTTGTTACAGTTTTCAAGAAACACATAAAATGTCAATGTTAAACCAAGAAGAAAATCTTAAATTAAGGAACAATTCGATCAACAAACCGTTAACTCCTAGAATTGGCTATCTTAGTATTGATGGCGAGTTAAAGGACGATTCGGATGTTGGACAAATGACTGATCCATTGTGTAAAAATTCATTGCCATCAACCACTCATGGATCTAAAATGCAATCAACTGAGCCATGGTCTAGTATCAGTGTTAATGATGCCGATATTCACAATGATGATGGTAATGGAAGTTTTGACAAATCAAGTGCAAAATTAGAGGAGAAAAGCCTTCGGATGGAACAAATAGGATCCATCAAGAGACGACTATCTTCCGATGAATATTTGGATGGCAATAATCCTGATCATTTTGTTAGGAATAATTATAACAGCGATAAGGACGAATCAAGTCAACTGAATAAGGAGAAGAAAAGAAATGAAAAATTATGTGCTAATCACGATAAATCTAGTCCATTAGAAACTACTAAACTTGAATCTCATGTAAAGCATTCAAATATATTAGCTTCATTTGCGCCATCAAAATCTTTGTCTTCCTCATCATTGAGTCCTAAAAATGGCTATTTGAGCGAAGGTTCAGATAAGGAGCTGATAAGGGATGATTCAAGGAAAACTGACAATAAATTAAAGGTTGGTTGTCGATAAATTATTTCATTTATTCACAAGTCATTTGATTTTCCGACTAAATTATTTCACCTTTTCAAATTTAGCAAACAAAAAATCATGGGCTTTCGAGATGGGATGATTCATCTTCAAAGGATTCAAATAAACATTCTTATCTTGTAAGCGGCTCAAAAAATGTCAATACTAAAGACAAGGTTGATGTAATTCAATCTTCAAATGGAATTGCAAAAAGACTCATCCAAGAAAAATCAATCAGTATTAATCTCCAATCCATTGATTCTAAGAGATTCAGCTCTTCTGAAAACGATCACATTTCCAGAGATACTGGACTACAAAGAAATGACAATAAATCTTGTGGTAATATCTCAATATCTTAATTTTGTTTGATTAACCTGATCATAATTTGTTTTACTTTTTTACAAATTTAGACCAATCTGAGAGAAGAAAGCGTAGCCACTCTAAAGCCTCCAAAAGTGCAATATCTCCCAATCGAAGCTACAAAAGTAGAAGAGACGAAGTACGAAATTGCGGCAAAGACAGAAAAATTTCCGCTGGTAGAAGTGAAGATAGAAAACAAGACTCAAGTCGAAGTCAAAGCAGGAGTAGAAGCAGGAGCAAGAGTAGCAGTCGAAGTCGCAGTCGAAGTCGAAATCGAAGTCAACACCGAGAAAGAAGTCGAGAAAGAAGAAGAACTGAAAGAAAGCATCGCCATGGTCCAAGCTCTTCCGGGTATCGTGGCAATAAAGATAAAACAAAGGATAAAATATCAAGCCGTAGTAGAAGTAAAAGCCAAACCAAGCGAAGTAGCTCTCGCAATAAAAGAGATAAATCATCAAATGGTCGATCTCACCATCGATCTCGCAAACATTCCAGGTAAGCTTATCAGCACTCAACTCAGATTAATTAAAATGTCAAACACTAATATTTATTTTCAATCTTTTCTTAAGTCACAGACGCCGAGGTCACTCAAGTCACAGCTCTTCAGCATATTCCACATCTTCAAGATCATCATCTGCGTCTTCTTTTTCTAGATCTTCATCCTCATCAGATTCTTCACGTTTCTCAAGCTTAATCTCTCGAAGCTCTCGTGGTTCTAAATCACGATCAAAATCTCGAAGCCCTTCAATTCGACGACGAGGTGGTTCACCCAATTTTCTTGAAAGACGTCGTATAACAAGGTATTTTGGATTAGAAAATATATTTAACTTTAAATTTAGATTTATGTCATTCAATTCTAACCTTTTTTTCTCCATTTTTTAAGCTTTAGAGTATTTTAAGTTACAATTTTTTTGTTTTCTTTTCTCATTTGGTAAGATTTATTTTTATTTTCATGTTTTATTTTCCTTTTTATAACATTATTTGTCTCATACGAAACCAATTTACTTCATTCAATAATGTATTTCAATATCTATTTATAATGGCTAACTTTATTTACCTTCTTCTTACATCTTACTCATGCTCACTCTAATCTGTTGAATCACATTCCTTACACAATAGTGCGGACATTTAAATGAAAAGGTGCAGGTTCAAATGTCGTTATTATGTTGATTGTCCCAACTAACTCATTCTAACCTTCATCGTTCCCTTGTCTGTCTCTCTTAAAATCGACATCTTTTCATTTTCGCTTTCATTATTTATAATCAAAAAGCTAATCATTTTTCTCATTTTTATTTCAGCGCTCGTAAACGACCGACTCCTTACCATAGGGATTCGCCATCCCCTGATAGCTCATCATCCGAGTCGCCAATAACCAAATGCAAACGGACGCTTTCCCAAAGATCTTGCTCTTCATCTTCATCAACATCTTCACCATGCTATTATTACCTGCGTAAATCTCGATCACCTTCTCTTTAGTCTCTCCAGGACGATAATTCATTTTGGAATTTCATTTTGTTTTATTTCTAGTCTTTAAGTTATTAGATTGATACGTTATTATTTTAATTTACTTTGCTAATCAAACCGAGACACTTTATTTGCTCATTCATTTCTAAGTCATGTTTTCTCGAAGTCTTATCATTTTTTGTTTTACCCGTTTTTGTGGGACGAGAATTTAACAATACTAATGTAATCTTGAATTAAAAGCAAACTCAATAATAAGCAATCATTATTTATTCAAGCAGCTCAAATATTATCAAAGGTTGCAATGACTATCTCTAAGATCATAATTTAAAATATTTACATGTTTTTGGAGGTTGCACCAGCAGAATTAATTTTTTGTATAAATAACTGATTCAATGTATCATTGGTTTGATTTACCCGAGTTTACAATGATTTTGATGATATTTTAATTTCTGGAGAAGTTTTAGCAGTGACTCCTATTGAAGCAACTAAAGAGGCAAGCAAGATGAACCAGTTAGCTGAAGTAGTCGAGACAGCTAATCTCAAACCTCGTGGAGGGTTTAGTTACTGGAATCAAGAAATCATGTGTAAAAATATAGCCTTTATCTTTTCCAGTTACACTGAAAATTGAAAGCAACCAAAGGTACATATCAAGATACTCTGATACAAAAATTCATTTACCATAAAATGTACACATGGTCAATGCTTTGTACCAAAGACAACCTTGACAAGACATCAACATTCACCGACAAAATTATCAACTAATGAAAAGCATATGTTTCATGAATGGTGGATTAAAGACGCCGTATCTAGTTACCTTCGAGTTTTTTCTGGTTATGTCAAGTAACTCCCCCATGTTGCCTGGTTAATTACGTGATTGGTAGTTCACTTGATCAGCAATCTCAATTAATCTCTCTTATTGGTAACTATCTTCTCCTGGTTTACCAATTTTCCTGGTTAGTTAGCTGGTTATCGTCTTATTATTTCAATTTGTTCAACAAAAAAAGAGTTGCAATCAGATCTGATGACTATCGTAAGACACTCAGAATTATTATAATTAACCAATGTAGCATCTATTGATTTTGAAAGTCAAGGTGAATTTGTTTCATCGGAGCAATATTGCAAAATTGTCTAGCGATAAAACTTAAGATCACTCATCTTCGTTCTTCTCCAAATTATAAAAACGAGAAAAAACTTGCAAAGGTTAGTTGCTCAGTGACTTACTTACAACTCAGGTTAAATAGTTATCAATATCATTATGATTTACCAGCTATTCAATACTCGTAATCATGCCTCAACATATGTTCAGGGTCGACTTTCACCTCCATCAGAGTTGATTGATACAATTTTGACTTATCTTCGCTCAGGTTGTAAACCAAATGAAAATGATCTCTGGCCATTAGCTGTTGATGTTGGTTCTGGTTCTGGTCAATCAACTTTTCTGTTGAAAAATCATTTTACAAATATTCTTGGAGTTGACATCAGTGAGGCTCAAATAGATGAAGCTAGCAGGCGAAATGAATGTTCAAATATATCATTTAAGGTAAGTATTCAAAAAAATCAGTGCTTCAAGTATTAAGTTATAATAATTCATTGAATATCTTCTCTCTGTAGGTTGCACGAGCTGAAACTATTCCAGTTGAAGATGAATCAGTATCATTAATTATAGCTGCTCAGTGTCTTCATTGGTTCGAGTTGCCATTGTTTTACAAGGAAGTTAATCGCATTCTTATTCATGGAGGAGTTTTTGCTGCTTTCGGTTACACCGTTTCACCAATCACAACATCCAACTGTGAAAAGTCAAATGCTTTAGCTGCCATAGTTGAAGAGGCTTACAGTGATTTGGGTAAAATGGGTTACTGGAAAGAGCCAATAATCAAACATCATCGTTCCAAATATGCTGATTTACCATTACCATTTAAAGATACTTTAAGGATTGGTGACATTAAATGTCCAGTTTCATACTCAGGAGAGAGATTTCTGAATTATATAAAATCATGGGCTTCTTTCAATGGATTGGCCAAAGACAGCCAAGAGAAAGCTCATAAATTTGTTGAAAATATTATTGATCGGATGAAAAAAGTACTAGCTACGGATGATGTCTACTCAGCCCAAATTGATGTTACTTTCGAGTTTTTCTTGGTTATGTCAAGAAAGACAGACTAATGCATTTAAACTCTATTCAAATACTCTTAAATTGTTGGTTAAATTATTAATTTACTCTTGCATTTCAAAAACTTGTTTCGTTTAAAATCATTTATTCAGTGTGCTTTTGAATATGGTGTCTTTGGTACACATTTTGGTGTATTTGTTTTAAAGGGTTGATTTGTTGAAGATTCACAGCTGAACATCAGAAACAGATGCTGAAAGCAGGTTGAAGTGATAAAAGAGTCGAGTTGATTTGTGAGCCTAGATTAATGAGCCTAGTAAACACTTAAATGAGCAATTAAAGCTAAATTGAAAAATGATTGATGTTCTGATAAATGTCGGGATACATGATAGAGATTTTACTGAACAACAAAACGAGTTATAGCATTTGAGCATGTCTGAGATTTGTCGTTATAACCTTACGGTAAAATAGTAAATCATGAGTATTTCAAGTTTATTTTGATATTTGATTGTAGTTTATAACACATCATGACAAACCAGCAATTTAGTTCACGTAATCATGCTGCAACATATGTTCAGGGTCGACTTTCACCTCCATCAGAGCTGATTGATACAGTTTTGGATTATCTTCGTGAAGGTTGTAAACCAAATGAAAATGGTCTTTGGCCAATTGCTGTTGATGTCGGTGCCGGTTCTGGTCAGTCAACTTTCCTTTTAAAAGATCATTTCACCAATATTCTTGGAGTGGACATCAGTGAAGCTCAAATCGATGAAGCAAACAAACGCAATCAATTTTCAAATATCTCATTTAAGGTAAGACCAAACTCCAAATAAACCTTCATTTTGTTTATTTAAATGTTTACTCATTTTCACAGGTTTCACCAGCAGAATCAATTCCAGTTGAAGATAATTCTGTTTCATTAGTAACTGCATCTCAATGTGTCCATTGGTTTGATTTACCCAAATTTTACCAGGAGTTGGATCGTATGTTAGTTCCAGGAGGAGTTTTTGCTGCCATTTTTTACACAGCTTCTCCTATCAAAACAACTGAAGACGCAAAGATGAATCAATTGGCTGAAGTGGTTGAAAAAGCCTTTGATGATTTGACTGACATGGGACTCTGGGATCAAAGAGTTATCGATTTATATCACTCTTATTATACTGACTTGCCATCGCCATTCAATACAAACGTCAAACATGATTTCATTTGTCCTATTTCCTACTCTTGTGAAAATTACCTCAATTATATCAAATCTTGGTCAGGTTATAATAAATTAGCTGAAAAAGATCCAGAAAAGGCAAAACTTTTCATAGACAATATTATTGAAAAATTGAAGTCTATACTTGGTACTGAAGATGTTTTGCCTGTGCAAATTCAAGTTGTTTATAAATTCTTTCTAGCTATGTCAAGAAAATAAGGATAATTTTTGCAAAAGGATTTGTTAAAAATTGTTGAAATTTTCATCTAAATAAATTGTTACCCAAAGAATTCATGATTGCTAATTTTAATTGAAAACAAAACAAAGGTTGATTCTGAAAGAAAAAAATTAAGCACGATCAAGCAAAATAAGCTTTAATAAACCTCAAACATTAAAATTTCAATTTGGAAATACGTACCAATGTACCAATGTAATAACAAATAATGGGTTGCTACTAAAACGACAAATTTAACACAATTATCACATTTAAACACGCATTGAGACAAATGGGCAAAAACGGGTAAAAATTTATTTCTACCAAACTTAGACTCTGTTCGGTTTGTAAAGACAGAAAAACTGAATCCATTTGTGTGATTTGAAAGTTTTTCTGGTCACTAGTTTTCGTGAAGATCGTTGTCAAAGTTGAAATTTCGCTCGTTTTTTACACAATTACGGAAGCAGATTTTTGCATGAAACTTATTTTAATGATTTCACTTTTGATAGTCAACCAGAAAAAGTACTTACTTTGAGAAATAGAACTTTTCTATTTCTGTAAAACATAAAAGTTCGATTTTGAGTTGAACCGACATTATTTTGCAACCATAAGAGTTAGAGAGCTTAAACTTAATATTTGTCGATAGCAGTTATTGATACACATCATGCAATAACCTATTTTTTCAATTTAACAACAGTTCTCTTTATTTTGGACATTGACTATAAAACTTTGAGGTTCAAAATTTCGAGAATGGTATCACTTACAATCCTCATTCTTGCACCAATTTGATCTTTCACGTATTAATAATCAAATGCAACTAAAAAACTTTTCATTAGTGCATTCGGGTTGCGATTTTTGGGTTGTAAATGGACGAGAAACAACTTATTAAACAAACCAAACTCATATTAATGCATATCTTGGTAAATAAACCAATTTTCTGGTTAAACCTGCAAATGAAAGGCAAAAAGTACTGCCAAACACTCGATCATTAATAAAAAGAGTTGAAACTTCGTAGCTTTGTAGGTACATAAAAACAAAATCCATCGGTACAATTAAAGAATGCATCCGATGGACAGTTTTCAAGAAAATCCAGGTCAAAGTTGAAACTTCGATCGCCTTTTGTTCAGTTATGGAAGCAGATTTTTCCATGAAACTTATTTTACTGATTCAACCTTCGATAGTCAACCAGAAAATGGTCTTATTTTGAGGAATAACATTTTATATTGGTGTAAAACAGATCAAGTTCAATTTTTAGTTAAACCGATCGCTTTCCGTGACCATAAGAGTTAGCAAGCTGAGACTTATTATCCGTGTGTAAATATTGTTGGTACACATTAATGATCGAAACCTTTTTTGAATTCATCACTAGTTCTCCTAAATTTGGCCATTGACCTAAAAAATTTGAGTCTCAGTATTTCGGTATCACTATCATCTACAATCCTCATTCTTTGATCAAACATTGGATTGCATTATGGTCTGTGAAATATTGAAATATTAAATTATTCGCTGTCCCATGAAAATAGTTATAGCATCGTATTAAGATTTGAAACTTGATTTATAATGTTCAATGGTTATTAAACACAAATCTTATGCGTTAAAAGGATCTTCATTACCAAATGAATGAGCTCAAATTTTATTCGATATTCAATCATATGCTGTTATAGCCCATAATGTAACCTAATGATTGATCAAAGAATAATGATTGTAGGTGATGCCATTCTCGAAATATCGAGGCTCAAAGTTTTCGGGTTAATGGCCAAAATCAAGAGAACTGAAGATGAATTGAGAAAATTATTATGGCCATAATGTTTACAAACAATTTTTATAGATCGATAATAAGTTTCATCCATGTAACTCTTATGGTCATAGAATGCTGTCGGTTTAATTAAAAATCGAACTGACCTGCTTTGAAGGTAACAGAAAATGTTAATTCACAAAATAAGTCCATTTTCTGGTTAACTGTCAAAAGTTACTACAGCAAAATGAGTTTCATCAAAAATTTTGGTCACACTTCTGTACAAAAGGCGATCGAAGTTTAAACTTCGACCTCGATTTTCTTGAAAACTGTCCATCGGATGAATTCTTTAATTGTACCAATGGATTTAGTTTTCATGTACCTACAAACCTACGAAGTCTCAGCTCTTTACTCAAAAGATCGAGGTTTTTGCAGCATTCTTTGCCTTTCATTTGCAGGTTTAACCAGAAAATTGGTTTATTTACCAAGATATGCATTAATATGAGTTTAGTTTGTTTAATAAGTTGTTTCTCGTCCATTTAAAGCTGAGAAATCGTTACCAGAATGAGTTAATGAAAAGTTATGCGATTGAATTAAATTATAGATTAGCAAAGAAGTGAATCGGTGAAAGAATGAGAACTGTAGGTGATGCCATACTCGAAATATCGAACCTCAAAGTTTTAAAGCCAATGGCCAAAATAAAACGAACTGTTGTTGTATTGAAAAAGTTATTTAATCCATGATGTGTACCAATAACTGCTATAGTTAAATAGCAAGTTTAAACTCTCCAGCTCTTATGGTCACAAAATGGTGTCGGTTCAACTCAAAATCGAACTTATGTGTTTATCAGAAAAAGAAAAGTTCTATTTCTCAAAGTAAGTACATTTTCTGGTTGACTGTCAAAAGTTACATCAGTAAAATAAGCTTCATAGAAAAATCTGCTTCTGTAATCGTGTAAAAAGCGATCGAAATTTCAACTTTAACATCGATCTTCTCGAAAACTAGCAACCAGAAAAAGTTTTACCTCACACAAATGGATTCAGTTTTTCTGTCTCTACAAACTAACAGAGTCTAGGCTTGAAAGAAATAAATTTTCACCCGTTTTTGCCATTTGTTTCAATTAGGATTTATTTGTATATAAATGTTTTAATTTTGTCATTTTACTAACAACCAAATTATATCTCAATAACAGACTCAAATACAAAGCTTGTTTTTTAGCATTACTTTTTACTCCAGCTAATATTTTTACAGCCTCATCATTAGAATCAGATCTTTAGTACAATTAACTGATTTCCACGAAAAAGAGCTGCAATTGAGTCTGATTAGCAACGCTTATGCTATCAATACACATACTATTATGATTTATCAGCAATTCAATTATCGTAATCATGCCACAGCATAGCGTTGATATTGTTCCTCTTACGTGGAGCTTGGACAAACTTCACTTTGTTTCATCCGATCTTTGGTCCCAAGAAATTTGATTGAATTAGAATTGTTCACAATCACGGGAAAAGACAGAAACAAAGAGTTTCACTTGATATCTATGCATCTTTCCGTGGAAATATTAACCTTATTGTTCTTGTTCTTGGGAAACATTGGAACAATACGTCATAACCTGAACTTATGTTCAGGGTCGACTTATTATATGCAGTGTGCTTTGATGATTTATCATGTTTATTATTGAATGGTTGATTGATTGGAGATTCACAGATCAACATCAAGATGAGAACAGGATACCAATTTGATAAAGAATCGGACTGATTTATAAGCCATTAAAGTTGAATTGTCAAATGATTGATGTGCTGATAAAACTTTGAAAGAAACAAGTAACTGATTTTATTGAACAATATGTCGAAGTATTTGAGCATGCTTAAGATTTTCCGGTTTCTTTTCAGAAACTATGAATGAGAAAATGCTGATTATTTCAAATTTGTGCTGAAGTACAACTATAATTTACAACTTATCATGGCAAGCCTTCAATTTGGTTCACGCATTCAGGCTGCAACATATGCTCAGGGTCGAGTTAGACCTCCATCAAAACTGATTAATACAGTTTTGGATTATCTTCGTGAAGGTTGTAAACCAAATGAAAATGGTCTTTGGCCATTTGCTGTTGATGTTGGTGCCGGTTCTGGTCAATCGACTTTCCTGTTGAAAGATCATTTTACAAATATTCTTGGAGTTGACATCAGTGAAGCTCAAATCGATGAAGCAAACAAATGCAATCAATTTCCAAATATCTCATTTAAGGTAAGACTAACTTTGAAACAAACCTTAATTTTATTAATATTTAAATATGTTCTTACAGGTTTCACCAGCAGAATCAATTCCAGTTGAAAATAATTCTGTTTCATTAGTAACTGCTTCTCAATGTGTCCATTGGTTTGATTTACCCAAATTTTACCAGGAGTTGGATCGTATGTTAGTTCCTGGAGGAATTTTTGCTGCCATTTTTTACACAGCTGCTCCTATCAAAACAACTAAAGACGCAAAAATGACTCAAGTATTGATAGCTGAAATGGCTGAAAAGGCTTTTCAAGATTTGGCTGATATGGGACTATGGGATCAACGAGCCATCGATGTACACAATCGTTATTTCACTGAATTGCCATTACCATTCAAGGCAAGCATGAAACATGATTTTATTTGTTCAATTGACTACACTTGTGAAAATTACCTCAATTATATCAAATCTTGGTCAAGTTATAATAAATTAATCGATCAAGATCCAGAAAAGGCAAAACTTTTCATAGACAATATTATTGAAAAATTGAAGTCTATACTTGGCACTGAGGATGTTTTACCTGTACAAATTCAAGTCGATTTTAATTTTTTTGTAGCTATGTCAAGAAAATAAGGATAATTTTCACGAAATTCGAGTAAAAAATTTATATTTTAATCTCAATAAAGAAATATTACTTCAAGAATTGATAGTTACAAAATTTAATTTGAAACAAAAAAATCCATAATATTTAAATATCTTCACGAATTGCTATTTAGTTGCCAAAGATTTGAATTGGAAATCCATTTCAACTCGGACAGTTTGCATTTCTTCAAGGTATTCCCACCAATACAACGATATTCAAAGTTATTCCGATCATCTTTATGAACATTCAATGAGCATTTGAAACATGTATAGCCTTGGTAAATATTATCTGGCATCACTTTGTGACAAGTTTGTCTTTGTGGCAGAGTTAATAACTTTGCTGTCGGAAACAATGATTGTTAGTGCCAATCCGACATGGAGATGGATTACCATTATCAATGATTCATGGAGCATTCAGCTTATGATGTAATTTTTTCCAAGTTTAATATGGAAATCCAACAAGATCCAGTTATTTTAACGAGTCCTTCAAACGCATCACCAGGAAAATAATCTTTGCGTTGGCCAAATATTAGTTTTTCAATGCACCAAATTGTTCAATGTATTCATTTTCTGTGGTAATGAAATTGGAAATACAAGTTTCCAAATTATTATGAGATAACTGCAAGGCGATGATGTTGATGAAATGCACATTATCGAGGAAAATAAAAAAATCAGGTTGAATGAATCTGGTAAAGATTGATTTTCACACTTTTAGATAAGTTAACCATTTGAATAATTTTGAAAGTATGAATCTTGAGATTCTAAAATTGCATAAAAACAAAAAAAGTAGAATCCTTGTGAAAAACAAAGCATATTAATTAAATATTTATACACATATAATTAAGTAATCAGACAAACAACACACTTTTTAAGCCAAGAATGTTTAAAAAATTTTTTTGGCGCGTAGACTTAGGATCCGGACTCAAATATCAGATGTTTTGATATTTTCTGCAACTTTTATTGATATTGTGCTTGTCACAACATCTTTTAACTGAACTTTTCAAAGTTTGTCTTGATAATTGCTTTATTTGTTTAGCTGTGATACTTGCCTCTTATTCCAATGTTATTAAATAGATGTTTTTAAATTATTTTGGATCGTCGAGTTGATTTATAATTTTTACTATATGTACATTGGCTAAGCCTTTTCACCGATATGAAACTTGATCCAGATAAGCCTTTTTTTGATAAGTTAAAGGAAGGTGTTGAGTATATTGAAACTAGTGTACGTTCTTTGAAACAAGAATTAGATAATGGATTTCCTTCCTTAGATGGACCGTTAACTGACCAAGACATTGATAAAATTAACCAATTTGATGACTCTGTGAAAAATACTTTTGCTGATGTGTCTATCTTGTTCAACCAGTTGATGAAACATCCATTCAACTTGGACGATTTGGATAGAAACGTTGAAGATCTTAAAACAAAACTGATCCAATTTGAGAATAATTCTGGATTCAAAGAGTTTGGCTACAAACCGTTTGTCTATGCTTCACCTGAGAAAAGGAAGGCAACCCCTCAATTAGTGAATGGTGATATTGACGAAACTGTTAAACCAACCCTTTCTAACCTATTAAAAGACAAAGAGGTTGATAAATCAAAATTGTTGAGGTCAACTTTTAAAGGTAACCATTTTTCTTGTCATGCTTGGTGGCTTTTTTTCAGTAGGTTTTAAATAATTGCATTCTAATGATCTTTTATTTTTTCTCTTTTAATAGTGACTGGTCGTAAAAATGTTGATAATAAACGCAAAAGTATCATTGAAGCTACTAAAAACCCAACCACCCACGCAAATTTAGGTTCAAATCTGTCGACTCAAGATGTAAAACGATATCCCATGATGCCTCCTTCATTTTTAGCCTCACCCAATGATAGAGAAGATTCTCAAGATGGTGTATCTATCAAATATATAACTGGATGCAAAGCAGCTAATGGACTCAATGATTTGACAGCAAGTTTTACCAGCAGTGTTGCCGATTCTACAGCACCTAACAATAGATATGATGCTTCAACGGTTCTTGTTGAGTTTACCCCTGGATTAACCACCACTAGACCTGTTTCTAAAGGAAAACCTAGAAACAATTTGAGACCGCCTTTAGATTATCGTCCGGGAAAATTTTCAAATCCACGTAATAACTCAGAAGATGTAAAAAATGAAAGCACTCCACCTAACAACAGAACTTTTTTGAAAAAGAACCGGTCAGCCACCCCTGAATCACCTGTCTTCCCTTGGTCTGCTGCAGCTAACAAGATAAAAAACAGTCATAATACCTACCGAATCAGCCCTGAACCCCGAGCAAATTTAAGATCTTTGGAAAAATCAACGCCGGAAGAACCTAAACCACCATCAGGAACATCAGCAATCAAAAAATCTTTACCTGGAACACCAGAAATGCCTTCTATTAGTATTGATACAACTTTACACCAGAAAATATTAACAAAAGCCAAAACTCTTCGAGATAACGTGTTTTGAAAGTTTGAAGACGCACAAATCCCAGATTCATCTCTAATAAAATGTTGTTTTTTATCACCAAAGATTAATATTATTTTAACGTATTTAATACACTCAGCTTGTGAATTATCAACTCATCTTTTCATTGTTTATACTCTTTGATTTTATTAAACGTATTGTTTTTCATTCTGAAAAAATGAACAATCAATATTTTATTGAATTTCAAATAATGGATCCCTTAATTAATTCACAGAATGTGTTACCAAAATGACTCGTTTGATTTCATAGTTTTAAATTATTTGTTCAAATCATGGATAAAATTTTTACTACAAAATAATAGACTTCAGAAAAATTATCTTTCGGAAACTGACTAACATCCTGGTTCCAAAAACCCAATTTCATACCTGGTAGAATCATGATGTACAATCAAAATTGTACTTTGGATATTTTTAAAAATCACTCTAGTCAAGTGTCTCCCTCTATTTTTCTGATTCCATTTGACAACAAAGAGTTAGAGTTGTACTTTTTGTTGAAAATAAACACCAAACTTCACACTATCTGTCAAAAACCAACTTTTGAATCTCTTTAATTTTCTATTATCTATTATTTGATTATCTTCTTTATAATTGGTTTATTTTTATTTTACTCAACATTGCGAAGCATCAATAAAATGGTATTAAAAATAGAAACGCGTTCTATTGAGGAAGCTTTGGCTCCATTAGTTCTTGAGGTAAGTCTGAGTATTTTTTATTTTTAGATTTCTAATATTTCATTATATTTATCCATCTTAGGTTACTACACTGGTGCAAAATCAGGAAAAAAGGAAAGGTGGCAAATCTCAGAGACCACAAGTTTTAGTTGCCACTGTAGAGAAATCTATTCAAAATTTCATTAGTATTGGTGAAGAAATTGCAGCTGAAAATGCCGATATTCAAGAAGAGATGGCTGCTTCATTAGAAAAAGTTCGTGAGACTGGAAAAAATATGTTTGAAGCATCTCGAGATTTTTCTGATGATCCTTTTTCTTCAGCTAAAAGAAGCAAAATGGTAAGAGCCGCCAGAGATCTACTTTTCCGTGTTGCGGAACTTATCATTCTGGCTGACACTGTCGATGTTAAAAATTTATTACAATCTTTAAAAGCCGTTGAAGGTGATTTGGAAAACGTTTTAAATTCTGACAGTCATGAGGAGTTGTTGGAAAACTTCAATAAGTTTGGCTTGAATGCCAATAATTTGTTCCATCATGCTGCTAAAAGACAGAATGAACTAATAGATTGTAAATTGCGTGATAATCTTGGTGCTGCTAGGGCTGTCCTCAAGAAAAACAGTATGATGCTTCTAACAGCTTCGAAGGTGTTTGTTCGGCATCCTGAACTGTCTGCTGCTAAAGAAAATCGTGATTTAGTATTTAGACAAGTTTGTGAAGCTGTAGCAACTGTGAGAGATGTTGCCAAAGGCAATAAACCCAAAGACGATATACATGATTTTCCTGGAGAAATGGCTTCAGCTTTAAATGAATTCGATGAAAGAGTTATCATGGACCCATTGAGTTACAATGAATATAAGACCAGACCAGACCTGGAAGCACAATTGGAAAGAATAATTAGTGGTGCAGCTTTGATGGCGGACTCTTCATGTACTCGTGAAATTAGGAAACAAAGAATTGTTGTCGAATGCAATGCTGTTCGTCAAGCTCTTCAAGATCTTTTATCAGAATATTTTGCAAATGTTGGATCTAATGAGCCTTGTGAAAACTTGGAGAGAGCGGTTGAGAGAATGAATATTAAAACTAAAGATTTACGACGACAATTGCGACAGGCAGTCATTGGCCATGTAACAGATTCTTTTTTGGAAACCAATGTTCCTCTTCTCGTTTTGGATGAAGCAGCTAGACGTGGTGATGAAGACGAAGTTGAGCTTTATCAAAAAATGTTTGATGAACATTCTAAAAAATTGGTGGAGGTTGCTAGCCTTGCATGTAGCATGTCAGATAACGGAGAAGGTGTTCGTATGGTGCGATATGCAGCCCTTCAAATCAACAACTTATGCCCTCAAGTTATTAATGCTGCCAAAATCTTAGCAGCTCGACCGAAATCAAAAGTTGCTATTGAAAATATGGATGCCTACAAAAATCTATGGGAAACTCAAGTTCGGTTATTAACTGAAGCTGTTGACGACATCACCACAATTGATGATTTCCTATCTGTTTCAGAAAGTCATATTCTAGAATATTTTAAAGAATGTGTTTCAGCTCTCAATGAGCATGATGGAGATAAACTTCATCGTATGGCTGGAGCTATAAGAGGACGTGCTGCTCGAGTTTGTAATGTCGTCTCTGCTGAAATGGATAATTATGAACCGAACGAGTTTACTGAAAGAGTTATGAATTCAGTATATGAATTGAGAAATAGAATAATGCCTGCTTTTGCCAGTAAAGTGGAAAAGGCTATTGAATTATTATCAAATAATCGATTCAAAGAATTGGATGATAACCAATTCATTGACGCCTCTAGGATGGTGTATGATGGAGTGAAAGAAATTCGACGAGCTGTTCATTTTGATCGAGTAATTGATGACTTTGACTCTGAAACTGAAATTGGCTATGAGGATACTAATTGTGAAACTCGAAGCGTTGTCACTGATTTTGATGAATATCCTGAAATCAGTGGTTTAACCAATACAAGAGAAGCTTATAGAATGATAAGTGAAGAAGAAAAACAAAAGATTGCCGCACAATTTGAGACATTTAGGACCGAAAAAGTAAGATTTGATCGAGAAGTGGCAAAATGGGACGAAAAGGGAAATGACATTGTTGTTATTGCTAAAAAAATGTGTTTCATCATGATTGAAATGACTGAATTCACTCGAGGTAAAGGTCCGCTGAAAACAACAATGGATGTCATCAGTAAAGCTAAAGAGATTTCCGAGTTAGGAACAACATTGGATAAACTAGCAGGTCAAATTGCTGAACAATGTCCTGAATCAGATACTAAGAAAGATTTACTTGCTTATCTCAAGAGAATTGAACTTTACTGTCAACAATTAAATATTACCTCAAAAGTAAAGGCCGATGTTCAAAACATATCAGGAAATTTAATTGTATCAGGGGTAAGTCAGACTTTTTATTTAAATTTAAAGAAAAGATTTCTCTTAATAATTATTTTTACTTTATTCAACAGTTGGACAGCGCAACATCCCTCATCCAGGCAGCCAAAAACTTAATGAATGCAGTGGTTCTCACTGTTAAAGCTTCTTACGTCGCGTCAACAAAATATACCCGAGGAATCAGAAGTGCCCCAATCGTTGTTTGGAAGATGCGAGCTCCGGAAAAGAAACCTTTGGTCCGTAAAGAAAAGCCAGAAGAGGCCAGGGCTAAAGTGCGGAAAGGCTCAACCAAAAGAAAAGATTCCCCCTTAAAAGTACTAAGCGAATTCCAAACAGATGACTTTTAATGCCTTTGAGTGAAGATACATATCAGATGTATCATACCTAAACTTAAACCTAAACTGCTGCAGCTAACAAGATAAAAAACAGTCATAATACCTACCGAATCAGCCCTGAACCCAGAGCCAATTTAAGATCTTTGGAAAAATCAACGCCAGAAGAACCTAAACCACCATCAGGAACATCAGCAATCAAAAAATCTTTACCTGGAACACCAGAAATGCCTTCTATTAGTATTGATACAACTTTACACCAGAAAATATTAACAAAAGCCAAAACTCTTCGAGATAACGTGCTTTGAAAGCTTGAAGACGCACAAATCCCAGATTCATCTCTAATAAAATGTTGTTTTTTATCACCAAAGATTAATTATATTTTAACGTATTTAATACACTCATCTTGTGAATTATCAACTCATCTTTTCATTGTTTATAATCTTTGATTTCATTAAACGTATTGTTTTTCATTCTGAAATCTAAAAAAAATGAACAATCAATATTTTATTGAATTTCAAATAATGAACCCCTTAATTAATTCACAGAATGTGTTACCAAAATGACTCGTTTGATTTTATAGTTTTAAATTATTTGTTCAAATCATTGATAAAATTTTTCTACTACAAAATAATAGACTTCAGAAAAATTATCTTTCGGAAACTGACTAACATCCTGGTTCTAAAAAACCCAATTTGATACCTGGTAGAATCATGATGTTCTTTCAATAAATTGAATACCATGTCATAACTTAAAATACTGATTTGGAATAAAAGAGAAGCATTTCATTTCTCTCTTTTGTTAGAGCTCATTAACCATTGAATATTCATGAAAGTAAACTTCAAATTTGGCGGCGCTACCTTGTGATGAGTTTGACTGTCTCCTTAGTTACGCCTCGGAAACGGAAAATAAGTTTTGAGTTTATGTTGCGGTTTGGTGAATGTTAAGAAACATTAGGATCTTGCTTGATTAGTTATTTTTATTTAGTGTAATTTAATTTAATTAAATAACAATGGTGAGTTTTTAATAATTTCATGCTTTATAATCAGTTTTCTTGATTAGTATTTTGTTTAACTTATGTGGATGTTTGATTATTAATACATTTTTATCTTTTTTACAGTCTCTCATAATCCCAGCTAAGTTTCAACACATTTTGCGTATAATGAATACCAACATTGATGGTCGGCGTAAAGTTATGTTTGCATTAACTTCAATCAAGGGTGTTGGTAGACGATTTTCCAACATTGTTTGCAAAAAAGCTGATGTGGATCTTAACAAACGTGCTGGTGAACTTACCGAAGAGGAAGTAAGTAATTTTGTTGTCTTTAGTTGCTGACATCAATAGTCTTCTCTGGTCCTTGGTTCAAAACTTATCTTGCATTTTGTGTCTTTCTTTAGGTTGAAAAATTGGTTACAATCATGTCCAATCCTAGACAATATAAGATCCCACTTTGGTTCTTGAATAGGCAAAGAGATATTAAGGACGGAAAATACAGTCAGGTTACTTCTAACTCTTTGGAAACCAAGATTCGTGAAGATTTGGAAAGATTGAAGAAGATTAAGGCTCACAGAGGTCTTCGTCACTACTGGGGGTTAGTATTTATCTTGAAACTTCAATTTGAATGTTTTTACATTTATATTAATTTGTTTTCATTTATTTCTTCCAGTTTGAGAGTTCGTGGTCAACACACCAAAACTACTGGCAGAAGAGGACGAACTGTTGGTGTGTCTAAAAAGAAGGGTTAATCTTGAACTTATCATTTATTATTGTCTATTTGATTAAACTCGATTTAATCGTTACATTTGTGCGTTTATTTTTTTCGCGTCATCATTCTATGCTATTAAGAACTATCAAGATCTTGCTACGTTATTTAACCGTTGAACACTGTGGTATGTGTACGAATGTATTCTAGATGATTATTACTTCTGCTGTTTGATAGATTTGCATATGTTTATATTGACGTTAAATGCAAGTGGCAATTATTTAATGAGATTAGACAATTTAAGTTTCGGTTTCGGTGCAATTTTATATGAAAAGAAAAGTTCGAATTTCCAAATTAAGTTATGTTACAAATTTAATAAGCCGCGATTGAGCAAAAATTTGGATTATTCGTCTTCTACATCATCAATATCCAAATCTTCAACGTCTTGAAATAGTGATTCATCAACTTTAACATCAACGCATGCAACTGCTGCTTCACCACCCTCTTCCTCCAAGAATTTAAGATCTGATTCAATTAAGCTCTTATCTTTTTCAAACAGCTCTCTACCGGTCAATTTTTTATTTGATCCTTCTAACTTAACTTGAGTTTTCTCTAAAGCAGCCATTTCTGCGTCAAATTCACGTTTCCAAGCTAAAAATGATTCAACTGTAACTTTCGTTCCTTCAAAGCGTCTCATCTCTTCAGCTTCTGCTTCCAGTCTTTTGCGTTCGGCTTCTTCAATTCGTCTTTTCTTTAGTGAATCACATCTCTTTTGTAACCATTCATTGGCAGTTGAAACTAGAGTAAACACCATGACCATTCCTAAATTGTTAGCGACTTCAATGTCCAACATTTCCATCAACTCATCTCTATCTTGGTCCTCAAAACTTCCACCGAATTCATCGACTTCTATGATTGGACCTTCTTCTGGGTAATTTTCTCCGAGTTCGAAAACTAGCTTAACTTGATCTGTGAACGTATAAGAAAATTAATCAGTTTTGGTTCTATACCTTAAGTTGTGAAACTCAAATGGTTAATGTTTAAATTGTATCACATTACAAAATGTACTGGAGGTGGACACAATAATCCAATGAGCAGTTATTGCATTCGTTGCATGTCTGATTTAACCGGGTCCACAATAATCAGTAAATTTTCATTTTTCAATTGAAAAGCTAAATCCATAAAGATGAACCAACATTACCAATCATGGGCATAGATTTGACTTTCATTTCGTAGGATTCATTTTGAAAGCATATGAACCTGGTTATATTTAGGATAACAGATGTATTTCTAAAGATATTGAATGATATCCAATGGTGTTTTGTATTAAACTTATAAACAGCAACTGTTTGACCGGTAGCAACACTCATTATGGTGATCAATAAGCCCAAGTTATAATGGATAGGGACATCGGAATTGTTGACAGGAAAACAATGTTACTTACATTCCTCATGATCCTCTGATTGGACATTAAGAAAGACACTGAACTTTATTGGAGGTTTATTGGAAATGACTAAATTGTTGATAGGTATGGAATTAAAAAGACAAAAAAATATGAATAGCCAGTAAAAATAAAAATGGTTGCTTTCGTGGCTTAAAATGAAAACTTACCTTCCAATTCATTTGGATATATTGCCTCCAGCGCCTGAAGCTCATCAATTTGATCATCAAGGTAACAACTCATGATAGTTAACACTCAATGTGAATAAATATGTATAAAAAGTAAAAATCAGTCAAATCAACAAAATAAATAAAATATAAAAAAAGATTGAATACAGTTTTGATAGAAGCAAACCATATTGAGCACGTGAGTGACTTGCTACTCTCAACCAGCTGATATTTAAACCGTTCAAGCGCGGTAAATGCTATAGATTTGACATTTTTTTATCGATTTGATTTAATGACATTTACCATAATCTAATTTTTAGGTATAGATTAAGCTGGTGAATAATTGTCTAACTGCCATGTAGCCGATAATTCTAATAGATTTGAATTTCTCAAGAGGTTATTACAATATGTTTTCTACCTAAATCTTTTTATCTGTGAGTATTATTACAATTATTTTTGTTTCAAAAAACCAAAACTACTAATCCTTAAATAATATTTTCCTATTAAAAGCCGTATTCTCTCTCTATCTCTGATCAGATTACTGTGAATCCCAATTCTTTTGATTCTGGGTATGGATTTAAAGTCAAAAACTCGGAGGTAAAAGATGGAAGTAGGAAAAAGTGTAGGATTCAAGAGTCGGGTTTTGACAGTTGAAGATACATTTGAACTTATTTTTCTTGAAAACATAATCGATAAAAATTTCAAGTTGGTATTTAAGGATATAATAGAAAGCGATCAGCTTTTTGAAGCGATAAAATAGGAAAGGATAACGAATCTTGAAGATGGACTGAAAAAAGGACGACCCATGAGCAGTTTTTCATGCTTATTTATTTTTTATTTTCATTTTTTTATTCTCTTAAAATTTTTAGTTTTTATCGTTGCTGACTCGTTTCTACGTCGTGTTTTCTTGTTATTTCAATTACTGCTTTTAGCTGATTGTACATTATATTTCTCTAATAGCTAAATTGACTTTAGATGTTCCGGGCTCAGCTTCAAAGTCATCTGAGGTTCCACCATAGTTGCCATTAAACCTTCGTTAAACCTTCAAAGTTCCTTTAAATTCAGCAAAGGTAAAATGATTTAGACTAAAAATTTTTCTCAAATGCGTGCTTCAGCTTCTAATTTAATTAACCTTTTAGATGATATAATACATTAGACTTTATTACATTTTTTTGATGATTTTCGAGGAAAGTCTCGATTTTTTTGACTAAATTTTCTCGGCTTTTTGTTGATTTCATAGAGTCAGATATTTTGACTATTTTCTCAACATACGATGGATTTGATAATGTTTGCTCGATGGTTTGTAACACCTTTGTTTCATCAAGCTCATGGAGATTGATTCGAGAACCAATTCCACAATCAACAGCTCTTTGAGCATTATCAAGTTGATCCATGAAGAAAGGAATCACAATCAAAGGTTTTGCAGCATAAATTGTCTCCAGAAATGTATTGTTACCACCATGAGTTATAACCAAATCGACAACTTCCAGGACAGAAATTTGATCGACGTAATTTTCGCCCCACATGTTTGGCCCCAATTCAAGTTGATCTCCTTTAGGACCTTTAGAGACGATAAAACGATGAGGACACTTTGACAAGATTTTAATGAAAGTCTTCATCAAATCTACTTGAGCTGACCCTAGTGATCCAAGTGAGAAATAAATCAATTTCCCTGGCAAAGACTTGAGTGATTCAGGAATAATAAACGGTTCTACATTATCTGGTTTACGAATAGCACAATCCAAACGAACCCATTTATCTGACCTTATTGGACCAACTTCATGATAATCTAAAAGCTCAGGATAGTGATAAATACCAAGTTGCTCAGGTTCACTGTACCACCAGTTTTCAATCCTTGAATCTTTGATATTAGGGTAAGGTACCTCATAAGATTTCCACCAAGAATACATTTTTTCTCGCAAAACTGACGAAGCTTCACCAAACAAAGCTCTAAATTTTTCCCATTTTTCTGGTTCTTTTTCTTTCACAGAGAAACCTGACCATGCTGGTGGTCCTTCAGGATAAAGGCAAATTGGGTTAGACGAGTGAACCAAGGCCCAAGGTAAAGTTGTTCGGTAAAAGGCTGGATAGACTGACATGAAATCACCAATAAACATGTCGAAATTGTCTTCATTTTCCTTTAAAACCTGTTCCAATGCGCGATTCTTAGCATCACAGTGCTCGACGATTGATCCGAAAAAATCTATCTCATCATGAGTCCAATTATTAAAGATGGATAATGCATCACTTCGAAATCTATGCAATAGTCCATTGATCCATTTAACTACTGGATTTAAATATTTAAAATGATGTTCATCGAAAGGAATAAACTTAAAGTCTCGTCTATCCGCAAGACTCTTGTGCTTAGCATGATTAGCAAAAGTCACTTCGTGTCCATTTGAAGCCAAAATCTCACCGATGGCTAAAGCACAGTTTATGTGGCCAAATCTGTTATAATTATAATTGTTATATTATTAGTTTGTAAACCAGTTTTTAGACAATAAACTGTCGTTTAGAAATTAAACAATACTTACGCATCAATACTTGATATGAGAAAACGGTATTTAGGCTTATTGTTCATTTTCAATTCTGTAATAACTAGAGACTTAGAGACTTGGATAGAATCACCAAGACTTGACGGATCAAAAAAGAGTGATTATCGTCGATTGATGAATTCGTGTTTTATGAGCTATATTAATACTCTCGCTGTGATTTATCAGACAGATATTATGTTTCAAAGTATCAAGTTTTAGTTGGATTATTGCCTAACTTAGGAAATTTTCACCACATTACTTACGTAGTATTTTAAGGGACTTTAGCCACTTTAAAGTTATCACGATAATTTGCACGAATAGGATACCAGATAGTTTTTTCCGCTCTTTGGTTTCCCCATTTCTGGTTAGATTGACGATTCTCAGTTTATAATTATTCAAATTAAACAACACAATTTGACGAAGACAGACTTGAGCGAAACGAAAAACTTTGACCTGAGAGCGACTTTTAAAGTTAAAGAATGTAAATTTTAGATTATTTAAATCACATAAAACATTTTAAGAGGCAATAAGATGTTTGATGACTGTTAGATAAGCGCGCTATTATTCAATCTTATTAAAGCTTTTTTATCTGAACAAAGGTGAATCTTATAATCACCTCTAGATGGAGTTTGATTTGGATTCAAAGTGTTGCTATCAGCTGCCACAGAAACAGTATTACGAAATATTGCGACAGTGTGATTTTTATTATAATATGGTTTTATTATTAACTGTATGCAGTAATTATCGGTGAATTTATGAGAGTTTGAAACTAGTTTGACCTAATTACCTTATTAGTTCACGATCATTATCGGTTAATCGTTAGTTGTAGATCAAACTGGTGTATAAATTGTCCAACTTCTATGTATCAACATCATAGCTGATCCAACAATTCTGATACCTCTGAGTTTTATAAAAAGTTATTTGTGTTTTTTTTTGTTTTCCACTTGAATCTTTTTATCCGTAAGTATTACTTTCTATTTATATTTTTGTTCAAAAACTAAAACTACTTGCACATTAATAGTCGTATTTTCTCTCTGGTTTTACTATTAGATTACTTAATCGAACCTTGGAAATTCAAAAGATTGGATCATTGTTATTGAGTTACATAATATACATGGTATTAGTCCATCATAATAATAGTAAGTAATTTAGAAAAAATGAAGCATATTTTGAAATGATCATAAAAAGAAACAGGTTATTTTTTGTCATGAATGGTCAAAGAAAGTAACTATACAGAGTTTTTTTTTTCATTTATCATTAAATTAATTTAGATATGATTTGGTTGATTGATTGATGCAAAGGGATTCCAAAAAGAAAAATAAAGCAATGGTGAACATGGAAATCTAAAAGAATACTTTCAAATTTAAAATTCTCGAACACATTTTAAATACGATATTTGTTGGAACAGGATTAATTTTCTTGAATAGAGGTTCAAGTTGAAGCAAAGCAAATCAAAATACAATCTTATCTCGGAAGGAAATGGTGAAAATTTAAGTTTCTTTGGATTCTGGATATGGATTAAAAGGCAGAAAACTCGGAGGTAAAGGATGGAAGAAGGAAAAGGTGTAGGATTCAAGAGTCGGATTGACAGTTGAAGATACAATTGATTGTATATTTTTCTTAAAAATTGAATTGATGACAATCTTAAGTTGGTATTTAAGGATATTTCAGCTGTTTGAAACGAGGAAAATAGGAAAGGATAAAGAATCTTGAAGATGAAGTGAAAAAAAGGGACAAACCATTAGAAATATGATAGCAAATTGTTGGGGTCAAACAGATGACAAAAAAATTGGTATAATAATGAGATAGTAATGATACAGGTGAGGGTTTCAATGTTCAGAAAGTATCAGTATAATGCAAATATGGATTTAGTTGGTTGAAATGGATTTTTTTTGCAAAAAATGTTTTTTTTATTCTCTTTAGTTTTAGTTTTTTTGGTGGTTAATTTCATTGTCTTGACTCTTTGATTGTGTAGTGTTTTTTTGCTTGATTTTGCTTGATTGTTGCGATGATGATGATTGTTGAATGTTTTTGATTTATTTTCTCTCGTTAGTCTTCTTTACTGTTATTAGTTGATTGTTGTTGCTCATCTAGTCTAAAAAGCCAGTACTAACAAGCTTATCCAGGAAAAACTTAAGGTCAGCCAATTCAGTGTCTTTAATTCCAAGAGATTTGAGTAAACTTAAATCACCCGATTCAACTGCCACAAATACTTCTCGAAGATGGTCCAGATCACTTCTCATCAAGTGCAAAGCCTTACCAAAATCTTCCAACGTTTCACTCTCTGTGGAAAAAAGCATTGACAAAAAAGAGAAATTAATTCATCATTTCTATTAATTTCACCTCGATTGAGATGCAAGTGCCATTCAATTCCATTTGTGCAAGCGAAACCAGATTGTCTATTTAATTTGACAAATTGAGCTGTCTCAATGTTAACTGAAATTTGGAGCGAAAATAAAACAATCCAATTTCATGTCCAAGTCAAAGGATAATCCATATGGCAAGATTCCAGTGAAACAAGGAGAAAAAAGATCAAGGAAAATGTGATTGCCCAGATGAATTGGAATTTTGAGATTAACTGTTCTCAATTTACCTTGTTTCTCGAGACTCAAGTTTTATACCTAATTTGCCCACCTCCTTCACACCAATGCTATCATCATCATGATCACCATCTACAACAACATGATCATCATCATTGTGATCAGCCTTTGATCCTACTTCATCTGTGTAAGCCTTGAATCCTGCAAGAAAATTTTCCTTCATTTGAAGAGTTTGTCTTTCACCCTGTATAGTTATAGTCATCACATACACCTCCACACAACCCATCAACATGGACATCATTATGTTTACCAGAATCATCATCAACTATGAAAACAACAACAAATGTCTTGCCTCTTCAATCATGGTAAATCTTTCAACAAGATTTTGAATGATCATTATTCTCGTCTTGTTTATTAACCAAGCAAAGCAAATAGTCATGCTGAGCCTTTTTTAAACATTAGTCTCCTTTAAAGTCAACTTACTCAGATTCAAGGTAAATATAATTCATCTATCGGGTTTAATCAACAAAAATGAATGAAAAAAGCGACATCACAACCTAAATGCTTCAACTAACAAAGTAAGCAAAGTTGACATTTTCAAAGGCTAATACATCAGGCGTAGGCACATCATTAGTTTAAATGTTAATGTTGCTGTTAAACGATTAATCGATTGAACAATAGATTATCGATGTTATTATATATTTCCATTAGACATTAAATCTAGTGATTAACTTCATTTGATTACAGTAATTGAGTCAAATTAAATAAGGTTGAAATACAATTGTAATAAAGCGCAAAGCTTACAGTCATTGATAATCTATGGTTAGCATGTTTCATTCATTACGATCAACCCATTATGCATTGAAAAAAAAAGTTGAACCTTAATTTTGTTTCTCTTTCATTTCTATTGTTGTAATAATTAGATATATTGATAAGTCACGCTTAAATTGACCCACGGAAAAGTTCATTAAATAACAATGAAAATTAATAACAATAAATAAAAAAGGGAATTAAAAGCGATCACGAAGGACAACAAACAAACAATCGGAACCTACAAGATCAATACTAACAACCATCAACTATTGAGTTAAAGGCTGTTTCATAAGTAGAGAGACAAGGTTTAAAGTTAAATATCTCCGTAAATATTAATCGTATTTAGTTCATATTGAGATATTTAGTAGATTGAAACCTGGGTAATAAGACGATTATTTTATTATCTGTGTAGCACCATCTCGAAAGATTTTACGTAATTTTTGTTTCAGGCTAGCCAGTAAAGTCTTGCCCAATCTTTAATTGATTTTTTATAGTAATTTTGCATCGATTTCTTCAAAATTAAGCTCAATTTAGATCAATTTGATCTTTTAGCCCATATTTAGCCGCAGCAAAGTCAGAATTTTCTAAACGGACGAGCCTGGGGCAAGTTTTCCCCTGGAAATATCTCGCTTTTGCTGAACTTCTCCTTCATCTTCAACATGGGAAATGGCAAACACGCTTGCATACACAAGAATTTTCGACTCGTTTTTCGAGCATTTTTCACTTAAAATGTTGGTCGATATTAATATCAATCGAAAGGAAATTTCTTAAACTATCTAAAAAGCTCATTAAAAATTGTCTATTAGCTTTGAGTAAAAAGTTAAGCCAATTTATTCATTTGTCTCTTTTCTTTTGAAACAGCCTTTATAACCCATTGGATTTTACCTTCCATGACCATTGATCATTCAAGAAAGTCTCCAATTTGAATAAACAATCAAGGAACCAATCTATCGATTCATAAAAAAAGGATTCAAAGTTGACAGATGAAGCAAAAAAGACGATGAACACATGGAAAAATTAAAATTGATATCAACATTACCAACCCATTGGAACCCATTTTCAATTAATAATTTCTGGTCAACAATTCATCATTCTGGTCATTCAAATCAATCATTATCACCTTTAACAACCATTAGTTGATACAAAAAGTGATAGCAACTTGATAACAATTAATGGTTCTAGTGGTATTATTATATTTCACCAAGAAAACAATTCTTGCATTAACCTTTGAAAATGTAGATGCAAAAAGGTCAATAAGGAACATCTTATTCAATATTACATTATATCACTGTAGATAACATTATTAACAATTCAATTTTGTTTTCAACAAATGCTATTAAAATTTATTTGTCTATCAAAAGAAAAGTAAAAATAACAAAATATTAATATTAACAAGAGTTGCAATTTTGTTGACAAGAAAAATAAAGAAGTTTCAATTTGAATAAAACATGAAAATGCTTAAACAAACCCAAATTCAAGACAAAACATTAAAGCAATACAAAGCCAATACAAAGCAATTTAATGTTAAATAACAGTTTTGACGGTTTTTCAAAACACTGTTCAATTGTTGACAAAGAATGAACAAAAGATGAAAAATGTTTAATCAATTTTCAAAACCTAAATATTATATTATTAACAATAACAATCCAATAACAGCATCAATAAAAGGTGTAAAGTGTTGGACAAAAAGAGCGTAAAAAAAGAGTAATTAGTCCATCATGCTAAATGGCGTGTAATCATAATGTTTAACAACAATTGATATTTAACTCGATCACAACCAATTAATTAGTCTAAATTTGTATCATCATTCAAGATTGATTAGCCATTGAATGGGAAGAAAAGTTTAATTGAATTAGAATGTTGAATGAAAATGTTTCAACGAGGGAATCTCAAAATAAATGGTAAACAAAAGCAAAACCCATTTCCATTGAAAGTACCCATCAAGTTATGATAAGCTGAGTTTAAATCAACTTTACCTGATGGATAACAATTTCCGATAGATTAAAGGTTGACATTATTTTGATACTTAAATTGGTTGGAAAACCCAAAAAACCCAAAAGTCAACCTTTATTGTATTTCATCGTTTGCTAACCTTTTCAGTTTATTAATTGTACATTAAAAGGTTTACCATAAAGTTTTACATTTTAACGCAATAACTCTTGGTTAACAATTTTGCCTTACAGCTAAAAAGTATGATATTAAAATTTGGTCGACTTCAAGATGGAAAAGTTAAATTTCTCTCTCAATTGAATGATATTAAATTTGATCAAAGACGTAAAAATGTTGTGTTATCCTGAAGGAACCATGAGGTTGTTATGGTTACCTGAATTACGAGTATAATGATAATGATGTTTGAAATGATGGTTAATGAAAGAAGCAGAGAGAAGAAGAAAAAATAAGACAAAAACGCTTTTCTTTATTTCAACCATTTTTTTCACTTAATTTTACTCTATTTAAATTTTAAGCTTTTGATTCTCTTTTTTTCTCATCTCATGGTAATGATGATGATGTGAAAAGTTGTCATGATGAATGAAAGTTGCCTTTTTTGGCTGTAAAAGATGAACTTTTGGCGAAAAATTTTCTCCAAAATTTTCTCTCCTTTCCCTTTTACCTTTGTGATTAAATGGTAAGAAAAGGATGAATTTATCTTTTCCTTGTTTCACTAAATTCATTTTCTCAGTCAAACATGGAAAAAGTTTTTACCATTTCTCCTGAATCTCTGTGAGTTACTGTCGATTCAATTTTCTGTTCATTTTTCTTCTCCAGAGTTTAAGGTTTAACCAAAAACAGAAAATTAACTTTCATTTCATGTCTTTGATCAGCTGAAATCAATAAGCTTAACCATTTTAATTTGCTTCAATATCTTTGAAAGAAAAGTAAATTTAAACTGAACTTTCGATGGTGAAAATTGACCATTTTTCGTGAATCCATTTAGTGGCATTTAATGGTCAAATTATTCCATTGATTGGTTTGAATTGTGATTAATCTTTCGGCTAATTGAATCTTTTCCTATTCATTCATGTAAAGGTCGCTTCTGTTGATTTAGATGTGATGAACCAGTTTACCAGCCATTGAGTTTAAACTGTTTTTTGATCAACAATTTGACTGCATTTTAATGATGATTATATTCATGATGAAAATTATCATCAAATCTAATTGTGCTTTTTATGCTTCTATTAATGCCTTTATTCTGGATAAATTGATTGAGTTTTTCCGAGAAAATAAAGATTCTGTTGCTGAGTTAATTGAGCTTGTTTTTAATTTATTCAAATTGTCTTTGGTTTTGTTTTACCAATTCATAGTTTATATCGGATAAGTTGCTGGATAATCAATTCTCATCATTTTCATCTGCCTTTGAAGTCTAAGGTTAGATGAACTGGATTGAATAATAAACAAGCGTGTTGAAGCAACAATAAAGGATTCAAATGAAAGGTAAATTTGTGTTGCTTTTTGCACCAAATGATGAAGAAAAGGGCAAAAATAAATTGAACTTTTATTGATTGTAACAATAAATTGAACACTAAATTGATGGGATAGAGCACTGAACAGGGTTAATAGAGATGGATTAAGAAGATGATGATTAGGATGAGGTTTGAAGTGAAAAGAGGAAAAAGAAGTAAATTGGAAAAGATTTGCTTATAAGACTTGTGATTGTAAGTTTCAACTAATAAATTGGCAGTCAAGATGAAAGTTCATCTTGATCAGGGATGAAACATGTTGGTGAATGGGTTAAGGAAGATGATGATGAAAGTGAATACTTGAAGGAATAAGAGTAAGAAAGAATGAGATGAATGAAGATGTAATGATGAAGATGATAAGTTGTTCAATAGTTTTTGGTCAATCGATTCAAGAGCTTTTTGTTGTAGTGCAAAAGAAATCCGAGAATTGAATGGAAAATTCATTTTCCTTTTTTTCTGGTTACTTTTATTCAGTAAAAAAAGGTTAAGGCTCAGGATGAAGATTTAGTTGAACAACAAGAGAAATGGAAAAGCTTTCAAAAAATGAAATCCATTTTTCTCCATCATCATCATTATCATCATCTTGGACTCTTTTTTAGCATCAACAAACTCTTTGGTCAAATATATCACAAGCGATTATCTCGAGTAAGTTAAGACAATTACACTTGGAATCGGTAATAAAGATTATGATCAACTTATAGTGTTGGCGTAATTTTGATCAACCAATTTTGGTTCAACTTTTTTCTCTCCAGTTCATGGGAATGCTGGAAATTACATTCGTTTTGGCGACTTTTCTTGGCTCATTATTCAACCTTTCTTTTGGGGTTATATCAATGGAAAACTTTGGACAAATCCAAGTTGTTCAAACACTTTTTTGTTGCTTTATTAAACAATGAATCGATTTATGTCTAGTCTATGATTGTTGATTCATTTCTCCTTGGAATTGAAAGTTTCGACGAATGATGAGGGATTGAGAAAACACATTTGAACATTCAAATTTCTAGGAACAAATTAGTTTCTTGTAAAAGAAAAATTTTGTGTTAGGATTTATCATGGTGATTACATTTTCAAAACTCATTTAAGAGTCAAGATTTTCATCTAAACAAATGTTCGTAACCTTCACTATCAATGAGATCATGGTCTTGTCTCATGACCTCGTGTATATGAAACTAAAATTGATTGACTTAAAAGCAAACTAACAGTTCTAATAGACTCTTTTATCGAAATTTTCAATCAATGATATTACTAACAGTTTAAAATAATGATAATTTCGATGCATGGTATTAAGGACACTTTTCAATTTTGATATTCATTTCATAAAAAATGTGTGCTACCACCATTTTTTGCAATAACCTCGACTAATCTATCTTTCATAGATAATCTACAATTTTGTTTCATTAATTGATCGATGTTATACCACTCTTTTGCGCTCGATTCCTTAAGTTGGTCAATCGAATGGTATTGACGACCTTTACCGTAAATATTCCTAGCTAGAACTGCCCATACATTTTCAATCGGGTTCAAATCAGGTGATCTAACTGGCCAAGTACTTGGTACTTTGTGATGCTGTTATCATGAGCTGCTGTGTCAAAGTGTTGAATGAATATCCTTATTTTAAATTACATTAAACATTGCGATAGCAATCAACATGCAGGGTAATTCAGCTGAAAAGTGAGGTTAATTTCGGCTGATTTCGAATACTGGTTAATACCAAACAAGGTTTAGACTTCGTCAGAAACACTTGAGGTCGCAAATTATGCAACTATGATAACTTCCAACCAACTTCTGAGCCTTCTTTAACGAGTCCTAAAAATTATTTATTATGACCTGTACTTTGAATGTGGCAAATAAGTTTCGCGAAATTCGTATGCACAAAAACAATGCTCGATAGTTCAACCAGGGGCAGAATAATAACTGAAAGAAACCTTACATTTTAGCTGAATTGTCTTGTATTACATCAAATTCGAGTATTCAAATTCCTGCCAATATTTTTCTTACAATGATATTAAAAAAACATAAGCTTAATTATACTAATATTATGTCAAGTTCAAATAGTTCTAGTTCTTGAACTTCGACGGTTTGGACTCATTTGACCACTAGAGCAAACAATTGTAAAACTTGGACTTATAAAACGGTTAATCTCAAGTCGCAGTGCAATTACGCTATTGATCTCATAAAAATGTCATCACCCAGAATTGAGAATACTCCCCTTGCTTTTCTAGATGTGCTCAAGCAAGCCACATCTTTTAATGTTACATCAGTTTTTAGTTATCCTTCATCTATAAAAATAGAAAATTTTATCTTTAAACTAAATTCAACGGTAACAATGGCAATTTGTCAATCGTTTTTGTGGGTATGCAACAATATTTTGGAGACCCAATTATGTGTTTTCGCCCGGCTCACCTACTTTAACTAGAGCCCAGCTAGAATATTTTTGCTGGATGGATGGAGCATTCACGGTTATAAGTGGATATTCAGAAAATCCAGAACACCTTGAAGAAGTCACAGGACTGGAAAATGCCTATCCTGGGATAAAAAGCTACTTTCCGCATAAAGGTGATCTCAAAGAGCACCATCGATACTACCAATGGACTTATTATATGTTATGCTTTCAATTCATTCTGTTTTATGCACCGATGTACATATGGAAGTATAACGAAGCAGGTAGACGACAAGATCTCATCCGCAAACTCAAAGACAGACATATTCTACAGTACAAGGGTCTAGATAGATTCCAAGTAGTTCGAGATACTTTGGATGTAATGCTGATTGCTGAAGAGTTATATAGCTGTATTTTTTTCTCCGAAATTCTCTACCTTTCACATCTCGTATTGGAAATAATTTACTAAATGTATTTCTTGGTGGAAAAATTTTTCAATCAAATGTCCATGTAATTTAATTTCGATGATGGCCTGAACTTTTCAATCGACCTGTGTTGGATTATATTAGTGAATTACATCTTTTTCAATAACTTTGAGGCCAAATTTCGCCATTTTCGATTCTTCGAAACCCTAGTATGAAGTTGAAAAATATATGGTTTTTGACTTGTGGCAAAATCAGATTTTGACGCCTTCGCCCAGTTAAGGTCATAACTTGACAATTTCTGATCAAAATTAATTTATCTTTGCACAAAATATGCTTGAAAAGTGTACCTTTATTTTAACGATTAAACGGTACATGTAAGTCTAGTCTAACTGACGCAATTCAATTCTAAAAAACTATTCTGAGTTTTTACCGGTCATACCTTATTACCAGTAATAAAAGAATTGGACATGTAATATTGAAATACCAAAATGTTCTGTATATTTTCGCATTAAAATATTTCCTTCATTCGATTCAATTAGAAGTTTAATTAAACAATCACCAATTGCTCAATCATTAATTAAAACATGCCTTTAATTAGTTACAAATTACTATTTCACCATTTGGCAAAACAAATTGAATAATATTAATAACTGATTTCGAATTTTCATTTTGTTTTTGAAATCTTTCAATTTGCATTGATAATGCAGAAATGATATTAAATGAAAGTTACTAGATTAAATGGATTGCATTAAAGATTAGTTGATTTCGCATTTAAATTGTAAATAAAACCACAAAAAGCTCAAAATAAACTCCAACGTAAAGTAGGTCAGCATTTCAAGGATTCAGTCTAATCAGTCTTTCAGAGATTTGAGTTTGTGCAGGTTTTGTTTTGAAATAAATTTCACTAAAAGTTGAACTAAACAAGCGACTAAACATGTCATCAATTATGAAAATTAGCTTTTCATTAATACCATAACAAGATAAAAATGTTTATTAAATGTTTTCCAAACAAAAAATGAATAAATAACCAGAAAGTAAACACGAATAAAGTGTTGTGGCCTTATTCATTTCGAGTATAAATTCATAAGATACTCAATCTCGTTAAATTGAGTAGAACCAGTAATCATAAAATGGTGTAAATGCAATCAAACACATTTAGAACTGTTGTTTCTTGAAAAAATTGCAACCTTTAAAACTCGAGCGAAGCAAAGAGATTTTCAGAATGATTTTTCGAAACACTTCTGAACGAATCTGCCCGATAAACATAAAACTTATTCAATGTTAAAATTCCCGATGAACTTGGATCGACATGGAAATACAGAAAAAAAAGATTCGATCAAGTTAACCTCTGTTCAACTCATAAGTATGTTTTGATCTTAAAGTTAGTATTGATCTATCGGACTCAAAGACGAAGCTTTTTATGATAAATGGAAAGAGATTTCATTGTTCAATTTTCAATCGCCGATGAATTGAACTTTTTCTTGATGAGACAAAATTTTGCACAGACACAATGGAATTGATTTGAGAATAAATTCACGAGTTTTACCTGATAATGCTTCAGCAACTTTTTGCACTCCACCCAAAGGCTCTAAAGCGTCTCGAGCTTTACGACCAAACAGTTTCTCCAAATAATTGGGTCCGTGTTGGGTTAGAAGGGTTTGAAGAAAGTTTGCTGTTTCGTCGATTGGAGGTCTTTTCGCTGTAAAAGTAAAATGAAAGATTTCATTATTTTTGTCTTTTCACCTTCTGTTTCACTTGAAATTAAATCACTTGGGTTAGTCTGAATAGATTGAGAAAATTTGAAATTCGGAAAAAACAATTTTCCAAATTGAAACTTGTTTTCATTTTTGTCATCTTCTCTCGCCATAAGTAATACAAATACTTTAAAGAAACTGGAAAGTTTCAATTTGATAAATAATTTTTATTCCATTGAATTAGTCTGATTGAAATGTTGGTTTTGTGGTGAAATAATCTTGTTTTTGTTGCTCAAAATGATGTTTCAATCAATCAAGTTGCACTTTGAAAGGGAAAATTTATTGCTCCTTCAATATTGAAACTTTTATGACTATTAATTATCAGTAAATCTTGGTTCCAAGTTTTGCGTGAAAATCAAATTCAAACAGAAGACGAATCAATTTTACCTTTTATTCTGAAGCAACATTTTCCAATAAAAAAACAAGTTTATTCAGTCAATTGAAAATCAGATGGAAATGTTAACAAATACTTCCCCTTCAGCTTGACTGACATTTCGAGTTTTATCAATGAGCAAAGATGTAAAGTAAAAAATCAAAGATGAAAAAGAACTTTGGATTTTTGTTTTTATTTAAACTGACTGAATAGACATGATACAGTCAGACATGATTCCAAGAATTTCCAAATGTTCTCAATAACTTTACGACTATGTATAAATGTACAACTAAATAAACTCAACTTTATTACAAAAGCGAGTTTCTGGAAAACTTTATCGTTCATTCAAGTTGTAAACTAAACCTTGCCTTTTGAGTCTAAAGGTAAAAGCAAATGTAAAGCATTACGAAATGTGCAATAAAAGTGTTCCCTTTACTGAATGTAAGAAAGTCAAATATTATTGTAACATTCAAAGTTGATTTTCAGTTCGAATCCCTTATAGCTTGTCCATGAATGGACATATTCAATGATTCGATATAAAAGTAAATCATTTAACAGCAAATTATCTTAAAAATTTGAAACGAATGCATTAGAATGATTAAAGTTGAATCGTACGAGTGGGAGTGCTTACAAAGAACCGATAAATAACAATCTTTACAAGATTTTCAAATGAGCAACATGATTGAACAAGTGTTGATAAAATGGAATTCTGAATTAAAGTCGATCAAAGGATTGCTCAGACTGGAATGAGAAAAATTCAAGAAACTATCGACTTGCAAAAGATGAATGTTTATGAATGAGTCTAATCATTGGGATTTGAACTTTGATTCTTCAAGAAACCATGATTGGCACAAAGTTGCCTAGCAAATGAAAAAAGAAAATTTGTCTTTTCTATTTTTTCCGTTTTTTTAAAAATTCTCTCTTGCAATTGAATAGTTTATTTGGAAAGATGTAGGAGTTTTGTTGGAGACAGATTTCCAATTCCCATGTTTATCCACTGAATTTACAAAATAATCTGACAAAAGCTTAGTCTCTGTAGAATCGCATTTTCTGTTGATACAAAATGGGGTTCATTCATGAGTTACCTTCATATTACATTTCTAGACTAAAACAAAGTAATAAAGATTAAGTTAAATTATCTTTTCAAATGTTCATCAGTTTTCCGAAAGTTACGTGAAATTCGTGGATAAAATTCTAAAAATTTGTTCTTCTAGTAATTGTTAATGGCTCGTCAACTTACCTGCTGTACAAAGCCTTGGATCTTCATCGTAATTGTCCTTACAATCAGGTGCTCCGTCACATAAATATTGTATAGAAATGCATACATTTTCTTTCCCTGGACAACGGAATGGCTCGGTTGGTCGGCATCGTTCTGTATCAACTGCACAATAAGACAGTAAATTAATCATCTTGAATCAATTCTTGAACTCGACTGATAATTGGATAATTTTATGGTTACACAAAATGCATTTACTGTTCAAAGGCTGGTTCAAGGTTGACATTTAAATATTAAACACAAAGTTGACTAAACAAGACTTGGAAACAATGTCTAGTTTTAGTCGTAAAAAATTATTCATTACAAAATATCAAAATGAAACATTTCTTTGTTTATAATTTGCTTTTTTTATTCTTGTATTGTCTTCAACTTGAACAATGTTCAATGTTGGCAAAGTAAATATTTGATGCAACTTGAAAATCCAGGTTGAAATCCCTTCTACAAGGTCTATTCCAAAATAACCAGAATAGTAATTATTCATTTAACCAAGAAAAATTTTCCTCCATTGCTTATGAAAATTGATCTCGCAAAGCTCATTAATCGTTAAAAGCCCAAAATTATATTCCAATTGAACCTTTGAATTTCATTTCTGTTTCAATCTAATTATTCCTTTCATCAATGACAATCAACTTGAAACTCGTTTGACAATTTGACACTTGAACTGCAATTGAATGGATTCACAAAGAGCATTTCAAGTCTGTTTAACCATTTATGATATCAATGAAAAAGGTTTCAAACGCAAACTTTATTATTACTTCAACATTTTGAGAAAAAAAAGTTTCTCGTTTTTCAGCTGAAAATCCAAAGTTTCTTGTTCTGCTAACAATTTCAAGTTTTCCAATTCTCAAGTGAATTTCTTTCGACTCATCCTTTTCATGGAGAATAATTTGCTCTAGCGATTTTATATCGTGACCAGAATTTCCAATCAACTTTATAGTTTGATAAACTTTTTGCTATTTTCGCGAGCAATTAAAGCTTCTCGATGGCAAACAATTATCAATCGATAGTGTTGATTGTAATTGAAAGATTGAAATTTTTTGTTCCTTTTTTTCCTTTTCAATTCATTTTCTAATAAACTTTAAATTGCATTAAACCTTGTTCCTTCAGAATAACAGATGAGATCCATTTATATCAATTTTACACTTTTTGTTCTTCTTTTCCTTCTCTTCTCATCTCTATTGAAAGTGAAAATTGATTGACTGCGAACCTTGAAAATGTTCATTTATTATCATAATATTTGTACAACTTTTACACTTCAACTTGTTCACCTCGTTAATGGATAAATATTGTTGTCCAATTTGTTGCTTTTTTGTGTTCAACTTTTCAAATAAACTCAATTTTCTTCATTAACATTACATTGAGCAAATCAAATTAATCATTATTCAATCATTATAGATGATCAGGGGAACAATGGACTGAATAGAACCATTTATCCCATTAGTTGAGAAAAGAGTATTTTCCAAAATTTCCATCAATTCGACTGTAATAAGAAAGGAAATGGTCAAATGACAATTCGAAACAACATTCAAGTCTTGACAAGTTGAAACTGATATTAAATTGAAAAGTGAATTCGAAGTGATTCTTTTCGAATGAAAAATCCTTCGAAACAATTCTCGTTTGTCATCATCAGGTTCACTTTTGTAAATGTTTCATGGGACTGATTATGTTATTTTACACTCCCAGTGAAAAGAGTCGACTCTTGTCGTACTTGAGATATTCATGGAAAAATCAATTTCCATGATATTCTCTGATTCAATAAATATTCATTTTACGCTCTTGATATCGACCGAAGTTAAGGTTAACCAGTCGTCATGATTTCTTCAAGATAATCAGATTGACTTGGAATTGAAGGAAGAAAAGAAATGAATTATTGTGTTGATAAATTGAATCAAATGTTAACTTGAACAATTCATTTTTGGATAAATACATTTTTGTTGTTGAATCAAAAGGAAAAGAGCATCAAAAGTTGAACTAACAAGTAAATGCTGCAAGTTATAAACTGTTGATGAATCCACCAGAGATTTTCGAGAGAAGATAAAATTTTCGCATTTCTTTTTTTCTCTCCACTTTTTTTCCATCATTTTCATTTTTATCAACATCATCATCATCAACATTTTCATCTTGATCGTCAGCAACATTTTCCTCTACATTTTTTGCTACTCGGTTGATTCCATTAGAGAACACAAAAAGTTCACCAAAAACAAGAATATCCAAGAATTACCTGTTTCTGTTCCCATGAACTTTTACTCTATTAGTTTCTTTTTCTCTTCAACTTGCTCTTCATTTTTCAGTGAAATGAATAGCTGATTTCATTTGCTTAACTGTTACAATTTTGTGTAAAAAAAGATGTTCAGATAAAACTAATTCCGACACAAATGTTTAGGCAACAAAGTGAAAGTAAAATGAAATGAAAACAAAATGTGAAAATGGTAAATGTTTACAATAATTTACAAAAATCGAGAAAAAAAATTTCTTCATTTTCTTGTTCACCTTATGCTAAATAAATGTAGACATTTAAATGAAAAATTGTATTCAATTATATAAGGGTAAAAAGAAGAAGAGCGAAAAAAGTAAAGAACATGAGAAAATCAAAAACATTGAGATAATCAGGGAATGCAAGGTAAGGAATCCTTCAAGAGAAGTGTAAAACTCCCAAGCGACTGGGAGTGAAAAGTATCAAAAAAGGCTGGAGATGAAAGGAAAGAAGAAAAATAATTCAATTAAATAAAATATTATATTGGATTTGCAATAATAATGAAGATGAAGAAACAGTAATGATGAAAACAAGTGTATTAAGGTAAGAATAGTTGATCCTATTCGGCCATCTGAAATAGCCAGTTAACACGGAAAATGTCCATTATCATTGTTCAATCATGTTTCCAGTTCACGTTATTCACATGAAGTGAGTCCAAATGAGCACCAAACTTTGATCAACTTTCATCTTTCACCTTTGATTAGGGTTATAACCAAATAAAGAAAAGTTTTCACCTAACTTTTGTTCGCCTTGAAATTATCATCAAATATTGATTTACGATTTTCTTGCAGCATTTTTGCGAATTTTTGTGTTTTTCGAATTTTTTCGCTCCTTTTGTTCTTTTCCTTCTTTTCGCTCATTTATCTGGTTTTGGTCATTTTGGTTAATTTCAACTCTACTCCCACTTTACCAGGTGTTTGTTCATTAATTGTATTCTTAGTTTTAGTTTTATTCAGAAGCGAAATAAAAGTAAATTGAAATGTGATTTAATTTTCCGTTGAGAATTGTTGGTTCAGTTTCTTGTTCTGAAATGAGGATAGTTGCTTAGACAAACAGATTTGCCATTCATTTGTGAGAAGCAAAAAAAGGAAGGTTTAACCTTTCATTTGTACCTAATAATCAAGTTAACCAATTCATTTCTGGATGAAATAATTTCACTTGACCCATCAACTTGGTCTTTTTGTGTGTTTGTGAAGCTTATGGTTCAATTAAACTTAATGATGAATAAAACCTAAAAATGGACAGTCAACCTGATCTGGTCTTGGAATCATTAATGAAATCACTTTTGGTTTCAAGTGTTGAGTTTCATCATTTATCAGTTTCATTAGTTAACGAAATTAACAAAAAAGGTAAACTCTACCAACGAATTTCGTAATTCATTATGATTCATTACTTGTTGATCTGTTAAGAATAATTTCAAGCTCATTCACCAACTATAAATAAACTGATAAAATTTTGTATAATTATTGATGAAAAGTTTTCGCATGAATAATAATGAATGCAAAAAGTTGAAGAAATATTAGAAGTAATTTTATAATGGAACGTGCCATTATAATATTCAGTTTGATTTTATTGTTAATTTTTTCATGAATATCGATTAACTTTAAATGTTAAAGGGTGAGGATCATTGGCCTGAAGCCCAATGCATGACAATTTGAGGTTGATAAAAGTCGAAAATTCCGTTGAATGGATCAACAATTAGAGATTAAATGAGCTTATATCGGATTAGCAGAGTTTCAATTCTAATAATAACTTTCTGTTATCCTTTCATCACCATTTAGCCCGATATAATCGTCTCATGTTCATACTCTTGAATGTGTCTCAAACAATATGCAATCAATTATACCGGGCGTTTCGTTGTCGAATGGAGACTGAAAGACATTAGTAGAATTGACTCTCTGGTTGCACAGATGTCAGCCTTTAACATCGTTCTTTGTTGCTGAATCCCCCGGAATTCTCGTATTTTATCTGGCTAAATTGTCATGCATTGGGCATTAGGC